TGCAGAGATAATAGAGTCTGGTGGTGTACTGTTTGAGGGAGTTGGTGACGAGCATGAGCACCTCCTGCCGCTCGTCGAGGAGCAGCATGAGGCCGAGGTAGCCGATCCGCTTCTCCGGGTATCCCGCGGCGGCGATGAGCTTGAGGCACTCCATCTGGCCGAAGTGGGTGGGGTATCCGAGCATATGGATGAACATGAGCTTGGCCATGTTCCGGTGCCGGATCTCCTGCTGGTTCTCGCCGATGGCCTCTCGTATCTCCGCGCACTCCCGCCGCACCACCGCCCGCTCCTCCGCCGCCGTCTTGCACGCGCGTATCGCCCGTATCATGTCCCTGCGCGGCAAGGCAAAGCTCAGCTCATCTCAGAAATTCGCGAGATCACGCCATTGCGCTCCGTGCAAACACCCATACGGATCCGAATTCGAGAGGGGCGAGAGCGGAAAACCCCACCGGAGGCGCGTGCCGGAGGAGAAGGGGCCCATGGCGATGTCGGAGGCGAAGTCCTCGACGATCTTCTCGACGGTGTCCATTGCCGGGGGGCGGGGATCTCGTGGAGGGGGGAGGAGGAGAGCTCGCGTGGATCTGGCTCCCGCGCGAGGTGGTTGGAGCGGGAAGGCGAGGCGAGGCTGGCAGAGGAGGAGGACGAAGGCTCGCCTTGGATGGATCTGAACTTCTGAAATCTGAACTGAAAATGGTGGTAACCGTGAGAACTGCGGGTACACCTTGCTGGAGCAGTGAATTTTGCGGGGATTTGGAGATAATTTGTCAAATGCAAAACCCAATGTAAAAATGTAAAATGTGAGGAATGGATCTGTGTGGACTTTTTTGTTTTGTGAATTTCAACATAGAAATCGCGGAGAACGTTTGTCGTGTGAATTTCATGCATTGGTCCTTGAATATTCTTTTATGTGTGACTTAGATTATTCCATTATTCGCTTCTTAATTACTACTAGTTTGCTTTGGAACGTAGAAAATTTAAAGAATTAAACTAGTTTCTATAAACATTATATATTCTTTTTATTCCAAATGAGATAATTATATATAGATTAGGATATTGAAAAATGATGGATAACTTGTAATTTCATGTTGGAGACTGAATTGGCATTCAACTACTCCCTCCGTCCCAAAAACATGTCGTTTTGAGATTCCCAAGCCAAATTATCTTGATGTCAAAAAGACTAAATTGCCCCTACCTATTCGATGTGGTTGTCATTTCATCAACAGGGATGTCCCCCACCATCCGCTTGCTATGGTTGTTCTAGCAATCCAACTTCTGTATCAAGAACGAGAAGACTTGACGGAACAAGCTAGGTCCGTCAGGCTAGGTGGCCCCACCTCTGCAACCAAACTTTTGCTATAACAACATTTTTTTATGGGACACTACTGAGGACATAGAACGACACTTTTAGTGGGACGGAGGGAGTATTTCATATGTTGAGTTCAACTATTTGTCAAATATCATCGTTAATTATACTACTTGTTCTAAAATATTTGTTCATCTAATAATATATATGGATTTGCTAACCTCCGCTTGACCAAAGTTGCCCCCAATATCTTACAGACTTTGGATCCTCCAATTCGATCCAAGATTTATGATGCACCACCATCTTCTCCTGCTCTGGCAAGCTGGTTGATCTTTGTTAACAGCGTTAACAACCACAACCAATTAGGTTTTGGGTTTTTTTTTTGGGGGGGGGTTCCTTAGGTGTAGAGGGATGTCGGGACGACGACGGTGGCATGGTATGCTAGTTGGCGATCGAATGGTGGTAAGGCGGTGGCAGCAGTGCGGCAAGACGGAGAAGGACAGTGGATGATGGTGCAACGGGGGCATCTCTCACCTAAGTGGTTAGGTGGCAGGGACACCTCATTGTGGGCCCCGCTTGGGGAGAAGGAAATGGAGGAGAAGGTCCAGCAGGCCTCGTCTACACCTTTGCTCTCTTCCAGCGTCAGCAAGTCGAGGAGGGGCGGTGGCAGTGGGGTCAAGTTCGAAAATGCACTAGATGCGGTAACAATCGACGGAGAGAAGAAGAAAACGAGGTAGCAAGTTTTAGGTGTTTGTATAAATCTCAAAGCGACCCAACGCCCCAAAATTCACAATATATTAGGGAGGAATGTAGAGTAGATAGTCCCTAATAATAGCATTTAATTTATCGTTGTAATAGAGTGGATCATACATCACTTTTCACTTGTCAATATTGGAACGTAAATACAACATCACCTTTCTTGTAGTGAATCACAGCTAAAAAGAGTACCACCTTTCTCCTCCGCTTCCTTGAAAGGAAACAAGTGAGAGAAAGAAAAATTGAACTTATAGCAAGCAAGATGCCGGCAGGATCCCAGGTGCTTTGTCAAGTATATATCACATGCTTCAGCTTGGACTTTGAATGTTATCAAGCATCAACCTATTCCCGAAGAATCCTTTGATTCTGCCGTGTTTTAAGTTGTTCACCATTGACATTTTCAGCTGGCATATCATCACACATTCGCATGATCAGGTCGCAGAGATATAATGATCCATGGAAATGTGGAATATCAACTCGAGTAAAGTATTCAGGGAGCCTATAAAAAATCACTTTTCATCATCGTATTTATCAATGCCGATGAGTGGTGAGCGCGAGGATGTAGAAGATATATCTTGTATCTTCAGAATCTTCAGATAACCAGTGGTCTCATGCTCCAAAGATCGAACGGCAGCTATAAGCATAAACTAGCTTCCCACGAGCTACTTTCTCTGAATATTCTCTCCAACATGTGAATTGTTAAGGCAACAAATTAATAGAGTGTTATATTATAAATTGATTCTATAAATAGTCTGATAGAATGAATGCATATAATTTTCTCAAGAAGGTGAATGATTAATAATAGTAGTATCAATTAAGCCATTGTTTAATCAAATCAAACGCGAAATAGCAGCAGCAGCAGCTTGGAATATCTGTGTGGCTGGAGGGAGAAGAGATCGAATCGAAGCTGGTGCGGCGCATGAGGAATCGAGGAGTGGAAGAACTCCGACAGCGGCGAGTGGGACGGGACAAAGGTGTCCATGAGACCCGCCATGTCCGGGGGACACGCCAGATACGGCAGCTTCCCTCTCCCTTCTCCTCCAAGCCATTAGTGGTTCGTACTTAGTACTTACGAGTAGCTTAAGGAGCAGCTTAAGATATAGCAGGAGGAGCACATTGCAGTTGATTACTAGTTGGAGAAAAAAAAAGCCGGATTAATATGTGCAAATGAAAAGCGGTTGATTAGTTGTTTATGTCAAGTCATGGATGGCAACGAATATCTCGTGCTAGGAGCATGTGCTCGATTTTAATAATGGTTGTGTCTCGAGGATTATTGTAACGCGGGCTGCCGCCGAATGGGCGAAGACACTTGGCATATCTCTGAAATTTTGGCTCGGGGTGTTTCTCCCTTTTTAAAATAAAATCTTTGGTTCCGAGTTAAACTCATCGTTTCTTCTGTAGCTGGTCATAAGCTGTAACGATTTTTATGAACAAATAATTTACAGTAACATTTTTATGTTAACGATTTAAAGCAAGTCATAAAAAATAAAACTATAAAACTAACTTTTAAAATTCAAATTTTAACAACAACATACAAGTTAAAGAGCAAACGGTGAGCTGTAGTAGCTCTTTTCCATGTCTGCATGAGTTTTTGTGTTTTGAGTAGTCTATATCGGCCCTGTTTGCACCCGTCGAAGATTGAAATTAAGTACGAGCATCATGTAAAACGATAAATGAATTTCAATTATTTATTAATTTGGAAAACGTGTTATCAAAATCCATATAATTTTGTATTTTAATCAGATTCAAACGGGGGGCATCTGTATTTTTCATGCCAATGTACACGCTTGGCTTGCATGTGTCCTGCATCAGCAAGGCAAGAAACGGGTCAAAACGGAGGATTCCACAGCAGGCTGCGCTACAGCTAGGAACACTGTCAAGCAGAGCAGAGAAGCAGCTGGTTTGTTGATGGATCGCGCGCGCGCCACGTGCTTGACGGCGCGCAGGAAACAGCCACGCCCACGGCCCACGCACAGGCGCACAACCACCTCCCCGGGAGAGGCGAGGCGAGGCCACATGCCCGGCCGCGCGCCGCCTTCCGCGCCGACGGCAACATCGCGCGCGCCGGCCGGCTGGGCGGCTGACAAATCCTGGCTGCCGCATCTCATGCATGCCTAGCGCCAACGCGTCTCCCAGGCCGAACCGGTCGACCCTCGTTTCTGATTTTCAACCTGATTAGTATGAGATCTCGCTACGGTTCGTTTAAAAAAAAGTTTAACTAAGATAGTAAAAACTATGGAAATAAATGGTTTTCATGTTGTACTGATCGTTATCGTTATGGTATTCTAGTGGGAACCGTATTTCTAAATATTCTTATAATTTTTTAACATGTCTCTATTTAGCTCATAGTTTAGTGATGTATTAACTTCTAACTAAATATCTAATTTAAGGACATAAAATAGACATATATACATAGTTTGTACTAATAATTTATATAGTGTAACATTGAATTAAATATGTTATACATTAACAATTACCTGTTCCCAGTTGATACCAGCATGTTTTTTTTGTTCGTGTAGTTATATGATACGGTTTTTGTTTCCAGCTTTACATTTTCGATGACGGAGAAAAATATAGTTACGAAAATGGTATTTCCCGGCCGTTTTCATTCCAAATGCACGTCAACGCCCAACGGTGCAACGTTTCTGACTGTCAGTCTGACAGTGGGCGGCAACCTGAAGCTCTGAATTTCACATACTAGCAGCCCACAGGATCACAATCACATGACAGCAATCAAAAAAGAAAAAAAAAACAGAAACGCAAACGCTGCACAGAGGCGCAGGGAAGAACTACTGATGCGTGTGTCGGTAGGCTACAACAACAAGAGATCAAAGCGAAGCTAGACTGAATCACTGGACGGACAGGGAGACAGGTTGCCCGCCTCTGTGCGCCCCTGAACCCCGACACCCTGCCCCCCCCCCCCCCCCTCGCACCGATTCTTCCTCATCTCCTCTCGCTGTCCCACCAACACCACTGCACGTCTCTGCATATATAAACCTCATCTCGTTCCCTACTTGCAACTAAAGTCATCGCCATCATCGATCGATCGATCACAACTACTAGAAATCCAGCCAAGAAGATCGAGACCGGATACAGCTAGCAATCCATCCAAGAAGATCGAGAGAGCGGATACAGCTAGCCTAGCTACGCGAAGGATCAGATCATCGGCATGGAGCTGGAGCTTGGGCTGGCGCCACCGAATTCCGGTCATCTCGTCGTCGACGAGCTCAGCAGCAGCAGCAGCAGCGGCGGCGGCAGCGGCAGCGCGCCGGTGTCTGCCTCGTCGGCCGGGAAGAGGGGATTCAGGGAGGCGTTCCAGGAGACGCTGCTGCTCTTCGACGACGGCAGCTGCTGCAACACCAGCGACGACGATTGCAGGAGGAGGAAGAAGACGGTGGTGGGGTGGCCACCGGTGAGCTCGGCGCGGCGGGCGTGCGGCGGCGCCAACTACGTGAAGGTGAAGAAGGAAGGCGACGCCATCGGGAGGAAGGTTGATTTGGCCCTCCATTCCTCCTACGACGAGCTCGCTGCCACGCTCGCCCGCATGTTCCCCACCAACGACCACCAAGGTCAGTAGCTAATTTAACTCAACCCAATTGTTCATCAGCACATGTGATTACAAAAGCAAGCAGAATCTAGTAACCGAATTCGATTGCGATCAATGATTCTGATGCTAGGTTTGGTTATCGTGATATATTTACAGGCGAGAAGAAAATGGCCAATGATGATCATGGCGATGCCGCTGGACCTGTGGTCACCTACGAGGATGGTGATGGGGATTGGATGCTGGTTGGGGACGTGCCATGGGAGTAAGTCGATTTCAAGCTTAGTTATTTCAGTGTTAGTATAACTTAATGAATCAGCAAGATTGAACATTAGATTCTGTGTAATACTGACATGTTAATCCTTTGTTTTGTTTGTTGCAGTGATTTTGCACGATCTGTGAAACGCCTGAAGATACTGGGTTAACTGAACTGAAGGAGATGCATGCGTGAGTTGATGGAGCACAGCTCGGTTTTGGTTGCCTGGCATCTGCGTGTGGGTGTGCACTGATGTATGTACATGTTTTCGTTTTCAGTCAGGATGTTAGGACGAGAGAAAGAGCTTTCTGTCAAAGACTATATACTGCTAGCTTATATATACTGTAGTTGGGCACATCTCATGTGTGCCCAGGGCTAGGTTTTGAGAATGTTTACAGAGTTCTGTGTTTTTACACCTTCTATATGTTTTGCAAACTGATCTTGTACTATAATACTACTTTTATTTATTTCTCTCTTTTTTTTCACACACCATATAAGCTGATGACAATACTTTTTTCTTCATCTGAAGAAAATTCTGTTTCAAATTTCCAATTCCAAAACCGGATATATGAGATTGTCCTTCCGAATCAATGTACTCCCTCCGTCCAAAAAAAAAGACAAACCTTGGTTTCCGTGTCCAACGTTTGACCGTCCGTCTTATTTGAAAAAATTATGAAAAAAATATAAGTCACGCATAAAGTATTAATCATGTTTTATCATCTAACAACAATGAAAATACTAATTATAGTTTTTTTTATAAGATGGACAGTTAAATGTTGGCACGAAAACTCATGGTTTATCTTTTTTTTTGGGACGGAGGGAGTAGACAGTAGACTGACAAATCACAGGCAACTCTGCCCTGCTTGATGTTCTGACGGGCAGATTGTATCGTACTACTCCTCCAGGAAAAAAAATATTTGTTTATGTCCAGATTCATATTAAAAAATACTTTATTTTGAGATTGGGGGACTAGTAGGATGATCAAAGAAAAGAGAGCGTGGTGCATTGCTAAGAAACACCAAAATGCTCAATACTTATACACGGCGTGGAAACAAGAAAGCCTCGGTAGGCATGGGTTGTGGAGTGGATCGTGGGCCAGATTGATCGTGGATCGCTCGCTCTCTTCATAAACCAAAAAGCTGGGCCGGAGAACGTCGGCCACCTAATGGGCCGAGAGCAGTGACGCGTTGAGCCAGATTCCGGTTCTTACGGAAGTGGAAGAGCTGGCTGCAGCCCAAGCCCACCTACCGTTCTGGCCGGTTCGCGGTGAAACTTAGGCCCAAGGAGGCGGCACGGTGCGGTCGACTTTTTCCACTCGTTGGATCGAATCGACGGTTGGGATCAAACTGTACCCACTCCATTTCCGTTGAAACTAATTATTTTCATCTAAAAATATACATTTTATTTTTATCTGCTCCACTTTCTGTTTTTTTTTCCTGGTGAACGAACGCAATTTCATGCGTAAAGAACGGCAAAGAAAAATTAAATTTGATGCAAAACGTATAATTATTTCACCTGTACCGTACTTACTTTCGGCCATTATTCATGTAGTAGTAGGATACTTCGAACACAAATTCATACATACTTCCTCCGTTTCACAATGTAAGTCGTTCTAGCATTTTTCACATTTATATTGATGATAAAATTTTATCTAGATTCTAAATATGAGAAATGCTAGAATGACTTACATTGTGAAATGGAGAGAGTAAAAAAGAAAAATAATTCAAAATCATTGGAGGGAAATGGCCAAGCTGTGCGGTCAGCGAGATGGCGCGAAAGGCAATTCCATCTCCCGCCCAGCTCCCAGAACACCCGCCCTTTTCCAAATCACCAAGACCAAGCACCCGTCATCCACTTCTCCCCCACTGCCAGGTGGGCCCGTACTCCACCATGGTCCCACATGTCAGCTGAATCTTCCACTGCAAGAAGCGGGAAACATTTCGGGTGGAGGCGGGTTTCCCCCCAATTTCTCCCTCCATTTTTTTTTTCGCTTCGCGTCCCCCAAACCCCTCCCTATTAATCTCCCCCTTCCCCCTTTCTTCCCCTCGCCGCCGCCTCCTCCTCCCAAACCCCACAAGCGAATCCTAGGGTTTCTCGCCTCGCCGCCGCATCGCCGCCGGGAAGTCTCCGCCGCCGCCGCGATGTTGGAGCTGAGGCTTGTGCAGGGGAGCCTGCTGAAGAAGGTGCTGGAGGCGATCCGGGAGCTGGTGACGGACGCCAACTTCGACTGCTCGGGGACGGGGTTCTCGCTGCAGGCCATGGATTCCAGCCACGTCGCCCTCGTCGCGCTGCTCCTCCGCTCCGAGGGGTTCGAGCACTACCGCTGCGACCGCAACCTCTCCATGGGGATGAACCTCAACAACATGGCCAAGATGCTCCGCTGCGCGGGCAACGACGACATCATCACCATCAAGGCCGACGATGGCTCCGACACCGTCACCTTCATGTTCGAGTCGCCCAGTGAGTAGTACTAGTCTCAATCGTCTCGTGCCCTCACGTGTTCTTGATTTGTGTGACCTTGATTAATTTGTGCTTGGATGAATAGACCAAGATAAGATTGCGGATTTCGAGATGAAGCTGATGGACATCGACAGCGAGCACCTCGGCATCCCTGACTCCGAGTACCAGGCCATCGTCCGCATGCCGTCCTCTGAGTTTTCCAGGATCTGCAAGGATCTGAGCAGCATCGGAGACACTGGTGTGTGTGATTATCCTCCCGTGGTTTCTGCAGAACGCTTGTTGTTAATTTGTTTCTGTGGCTTGTTCTTAAATCTTTAAACTGCTTGGCATTCCAGTTATCATCTCGGTGACCAAGGAGGGTGTTAAGTTCTCGACCGCTGGAGATATTGGAACTGCCAACATTGTCTGCAGGCAGAACAAGACTGTTGACAAGGTAATTAATCTATCGATGGTGCCTTCTCAAACTGTTACTAACTTGGTCTACGATACCTGTCATGTTTGTAAACTTGGAATGCCGAAAGAGAGTCAAGAAAACTACAGTAGCAGAGATGGTTCTTTTGTACTCAAATATTGCGCTGTTAACAAGTAATCACGAGTACAGCAGCTAGACAGCTAATTTCCTTAGGAAAACATTACAGCTAATTTTTTCATGGAGAACAATGTAGTGTCTGTACTAAAAGAATTATTTGGTTCAGTTACATGATAGCATTTGAGCTACATCTGCGGTCACCCTAGTTTGCTTGTTAATGTTTCTGTTATGTGTTTGCAATGTGTATGGTCCTGGGTCAATAATTGGGTTACCTGTATCTTTAAGTAACTGGCTTGCATCAGTCCTATAGTTGTGCTCATTCATCTGGTTATCCAGAGTAAAGTTTGTATCTAACAATTTAGTAGTAAAACTAGTAAAAGGAGTTTTTTTTTTTTGCTGCAAGGGATCTGAAATCCTTTAGTCAAATTAAGACATTTCTAAGCATGAATAAAGTATGAATCCTATTAAAACTAGTAAAAGGAGTTTTTTTTTGCTGCAAGGGATCTGAAATCCTTTAGTCAAATTAAGACATTTCTAAGCATGAATAAAGTATGAATCCTATTATCCCCATCTTGCATGTCAATATGTCATCTGATCATTATGCTAACTGCAAAACTTTCTGTTATTCTTTCCATACTGGAGTACCGGTTTAGGATCATGCAGCAATGAGTACAGTAAGTGATAATCAGTGTCTAATGGATGTTTTTTTGGGTCATTGCAGCCAGAAGATGCTACAATCATAGAGATGCAGGAACCGGTGTCACTAACCTTTGCCCTGAGGTACATGAACTCCTTCACCAAGGCAAGCCCGCTCTCTGAACAAGTTACAATCAGCCTTTCATCTGAGCTGCCAGTGGTGGTTGAGTATAAGATTGCAGAGATGGGCTACATTAGATTTTATCTGGCGCCAAAGATTGAAGAAGATGAGGAAATGAAGTCGTGATTGTCGCATAAGGATATGACAAAATACCCCCTAGTCTTCAGACCATCATCCTTTGCTTAACAATTGTTTGTAAGCAAAATGATGTTATGCTTATCATCGCTTACGACGGAATGCTTTTTACCTTTGTATCTGTGACTTCTGTAAATCCTTGGATTTACAGTGATGAATGTTAGGTTTAGTAGATTTGTGAGTTTATGACTGCATTGCTGTAGCATGATTGTGCTGCTGTTTGTTTGTTCAATTCGGTTGTTACATATTTGTTGGGAGAGGAGCTTCCTTTGGGTTGACACTAACTTCATCAGTGTTTGGACCCAGAATTGCTATCATCCTCAAGCTGTGAAAGCCAAATTTCCATCTTTGAGAAGGCTTCCAAATTTCCATCTATTTTAGGCTCTCTGTTGTCACCTGTGATAACCGATAAGAAACAAAACAAGCTATGAAAAATGATTTTTTTTAAAACAGTGGAGACAAACTATGCAGCCTCAATTAGTGGCCACAGGCATCTCACATCTCCCAATTCCGGCCTACATTGGCAATATAGATTTGATTTGATGGTATTTTCCTATTTCCTAACATCGGATATGTTCATTGTTACTGGCAGCTTATAGATAGATCTCCCTTTACAAAGCACTTCACACCAGAGTACAATGGCACAACAAGATATAACTACTGTTCTAGAGGTAAAATGCTAGATTAGGTGCTGCTCATGATCACCAGTCACCGATTTTGATCTGCTCTGCACTCCACAAGTCCAATTGGAAATTAGATCATGGGTTTACTTTGATTCTGCCCTCGACCCTAACTTTGGTGTCACTGGTTTGCAACCTGTCCAAGATTGGAAGCTGAATCGTCAGCTTATAATCTGAAACAATTAACACCTTTGTCAGAATTCTGGAGAACAGTGTCACAAACTGATTTACTAGTTTTAATAAGTGAAATTTGCTCTTTGCATAGTCTAATAATTGCAGTTGCATAGTCTAATTTGCAAAATTATGTTAGTTCTTGCTGTTTAATCTACCTACAGCTTGAATTTTAGGGTCCTTTCTCTATTTCTCAGAATAAGATAGTCAGACCAAGAAACCTTGCTGCTATGGGACATTCATTTATTACTAAACATGTTAATGAAAAAACAAGATAAAATAGGCGCACGCTAATCTTTAGGCCATCCAAATCCAGTTTCCTTAAAATATGCTTATGATCACAGGAAAGTATTATGGTGTACTATAAAGAAATAATCCTATCTATAAGGAAAATGGAGCCTACTTTCATTATACTATAAATAAGTGGCAAAAGAAGCTTTTACCTTTGCAAGTGTGGCATATCAAGTACACTTTCTGTGTTTTTCGGCATAATGTGCTGCAACTGGTCTTTGCTGAGTGCATATCTATCAAAACGATCAGCATTCATCATGTATGTGTTCTGCCTAACCGACTTCTCATCGGTTCCTATTGAAGAAGCAAAGGGAAGGTCAGTCAATGTAAAAAAATGTTCACCAAAAATGCAATCTGAAACTACTATTGGTTATTGGAAATAGTTTATGTTCTCTAACCTGGCACAATTGTGCTCTCACTAGCTGAAGTCAGGCGGTGCTTTAACATCATCTCATCAGGATAGATCATCTTCAACATAAATAGATACAACAAGTGAAAAATGACCATATGAAGTGCTATTCTATTAGCAAGGAAAGAGGTTCAGTATGCTGACTGCTGAAGATCTTACAAGACAAAAAGGATTACCTCAGCGGGTTCAGTGAACCGTAAGGATTGAAGATTGGAACGCGAAGACTCTACAAGGAACCGAGGCTCCAGAGCGGTTGCATTAGGAACACCTGGTAAGAATAGAGGTTTATGTTGGCTTGCCAGCTCAAATGGAAGAAGTGCTCCTGAAGTCTGGTTCACCGGCTGCAAAACAACTGAAGGATCTGATGCTTTGGCACTATTCTGGTCAAGTGCAGCACTCATTTGCGGGATCGGCAGATGCTCAGGTGCCCCAGATAAGTTCACTGGGGGCAGATATAGACCATTCCTCATGGACAACATCTGGAACAAAAATTCAGCAATCAAACAGAAATTAGCTGCAGTAACGTGGAATACATACATTTTGTTTTTCTTACAAATGCCGTGCAAACAACAATGTGGCATGCTGTGATTAGATCAATGTTCTTTTCTGACGTCCTAACCGACTAAATCTTGCTTAGACAGTAAGCCATCAGAAAATGGTGATTAGGATAGCTAATGTACACTTTTTGATGCTAGAACTTCAAGCTTGTCCTAACTCATATATGCTAGTACCATTTCACTTCAGCACACAGCTGCTCAATATTCAAAACGCTTGACATATCCATTGTCGATACCTGGAGCATTAAGTCTGTGGATTTGCGAAAATAATCCTCAAGCAATTCAGTAACAATGCAACATTCATTACACTTACCTGGACCTGGAGCTGAAGCTGCTTCAGGTACTCGATGGCATCGTCAAGCATGGAGGCTTTGTCCGTCTGCATCGGTGAATGAAACCATCAGCACAAGATAAACGCCAAATTAACTCGAGAGATTAGCTTCCAGCAACACAAGTAATAGTGTGTATAAATCGTTGAACAAAAAATCGAGTAAGAAACAAGAGAGACAATTTTTTTTACTACCTTGCTGGAGTTGGGAATGAGGCTCTGCAGGGCCTTCATCTTCTCATTGATTCTGCTCCTCCTCCTCTGCACCAAATTACCGTGGTCAAAATCAATCCCACAAAATCAGCTGATACCAAGAGGAACACGAGAGGTAGCAGTCGCCGTCGCCGGGCTAACCTTCTCGGAGAGGTTGTGCACCTCGGCGGCGCGGCTCCTCTTGCCGCGCGGCCGCGCCGGCCTGGTGGGCTGCTCCGACTCCGACGACCCCAGCGCCTCCTAAAAAGAACCAAACACCAAATCAAACCGCCAAATCACCACCAGCATCCGATCGAATCAAACGCGGACACCGCACGCCAACCTCGCTCTCGCAGCGATCCAGCCCCATGCTGGCGTGGTGTCGCATGATCAAATCCAGGTGCTCCTCCTCCTGGCTTCCTCGCCCATCCATCATCGCCTCGCCACAGCACCAGCAAACCACAAACACTAGCGCTACCGGACGAACGAACAAAACCAAGAACTCCTTAAGTACTCCAGAAATGGCGAGCGAGCGCCACGAGAAATTGGACGCTGCTGCTGCTGTTGCTGGTCATGAGCTGCCCATACCTTGCTGCTGCAGCTGCTGCAGGAGTTGCCACCTTTCTTCAGTTTCTCTCTCTCTCTCTCTGTGTCTCTGGTTTTGTGATGGCTTTTCCTTGAGCCCGAGAAAGCTGCAAGCGCGGCAGAGCTTTTGACGACGTCTTTTGAGTTTTGCCGCTGCGGCTGCCTCTGCTTCGGCTTCAGCTTCTCTCTCCGGCTCCGGCAGCAGCGGCGCGGGGCGGTCGGTGTACGGCTCGTCGCGTCGCGTCGCGGGGTGGGGTGGAGAGGTTCATTGATGGAGGAGGGAGGGAGGGGTGGTTCTGGTTCGCGCGGTTTTCATTTATGAGCGGGGGGGTGTGGTGTTAATGGCGTGGCGTGTTGAGCTCGGCTTTCAGAGCTCAACAGTGCCAGTTTCCGTGGGAAGACATGGACATGGATATATGCTGTGTCGTGTACTCGTTTACTCCCTCCGTCTCGTCTTATTAAATTTTTTTATGTAAATATAAAAAACGAAAAGTTGTACTTTAATTACTTTAGATAATAAAGTAAGTCAAAAAAAATTAATAATAATTTTAACTTTTTTTTAAGAATAATACGAGTGATCAAACAGTGCAAGTAAAAACTCAAAAGGAAGTAGTTGTGTGTAGGCTTGGTACTTGTGTGGACTCTATTTTCTCCATCTTAATATAATATAACTTACACATTTTAATATTATAAATTTAGATAGAATCTCTATTTAGATTTATAATAGTGAGAGTATTAGATTCTTATATTTTATAGTGAAAGAAGTAATATTTACTACTACGTAAAATAAGACGGTGAATTATCACATTATTAATTAGATAATTTGAAAATAAATTAAGATATTCTTTTATAACAACTTTCATATAGTAGTCTTTTATAAAAACAAACTCTACGAATCTGGACATATAGATTTGATTGGGTTTTTTTTTGACTGAGGGGTATATCGTTTAACAATTTTAAAAACGTGAACACAAAACACGATAAATAGAAGTTACTTCATTCGCCCTAAAACATTTTAGAATGTGCCATCAATTTAAAATCTCTTATATTTTATATTTTAGAATGGAGGAAGTATAGAAGAGGAGAAAATACCGCACCATGGGAGGGACTAGTAGTCTAGTACAGTTGGCACTGTGCTCGCTTTACTCCGGTACAGTGTTTGCGCCGGCTCCTTTCGGGATCAGTCAGTTCGTCGCCGCACGGATGAGCGTGAGCTGCTTGCTGATGCTGTTCCAGCCTCGCGTGCTCATCAGGAGGAGCAGCATATCGGTCTTGCTGTTGCCGTGTCAATGACGTGACCTTAACTGCAGCATTAGCGAATGTTGACAACAGTATCAAGAAGAGGCACCAACGGGACAAAAAATGGTCCCTCTGAAATCTCTCATGGCACACGGGTTCCTCTAGGATTTGATCTGGACCGTTCATCCGTCATCGGACGGCCCACGATTGGACATGATCGGATTGACTGTATCTGATTGAGCAACTTCATCGTTCCCATTAACACATTTCTTAAACTATTTAATTATACATTTCGTGTAAAAAACTTAGGTCCTATTTAGTTCCCAAAACAAAAATTTTTACACTATCACATTTAAACACATATATAGAGTATTAAATGTAGACAAAAAATTAAAACCAATTATACAAATTGCGTGTAAATTGCGAGACGAATTTTTTAAGCTTAATTGTGGCATGATTTGACAATATGGTGCTACAATAAATATTTGATAATGACGGATTAATTAGACTTAATAAATTCGTCTCGAAGTTTCCTGGCGAAATCTGTAATTTGTTTTGTTATTAGACTACGTTTAATACTTCAAATGTGTATCCGTATATTCGATATGACAATCAAACCTAAAAATTTTCCCCAACTAAACAAGACCTTTATATATATACATATTTTTCAAAAAGTAAGAATTTTTTTTTGCATGTTTAAAATACTCGGCGTGGCAACGACGCCGTCCAGCTTGGAGTAGAGCGCCGCGGCCATTCTCAGCGCCTCCAGCTTCTTTGAAGGGAAGCCCTCGAACCTGGCAAGCACCAGCAATGGAAGCCAGTCAGGCCGGCCGGCCGGCACGCGCCGCGCATGCGCGGCGCCATGGCAGAGCAGCCGAGCTCGAGGGGAGTGAGCTGGTTTGTAGTGCGCGCCCGGACGAACACCTGCGTCTCGTCGGTCAGGCACGCGAGCTGCAGTGGAACCTCGCCAGCTCGCCCATGTCCATGGATTGGAACGCGCCGACGGCGTCTTTCAGCTCCAGGATCGCCGCCGGGTGGGTTCCGACGTCCTCCTCGATTTGCCGGAAGTAGGCCGATCTTTCCGTTCCAATATTGTCGTAGCAAGCGAAGATTACCACAAGAATCTCGAGGTCATGATCAATGTCAATGGTGTTTGCGGTGCGTGCACGTACCTCTTGGTCATCTCGGCCGATGCGTCGGCCATGCCATGACCTGCACCACCGCCCTTGGCGCCGGCCGCCGGCGACGCCCGGGCTTTCTTGTCGCGCGAGCTCTTGCCGCCATGCAGGTGAGAAGCGCCGCCTTCTACTAGATCGGTCACGCAGATGCCGGTACATGCTCCCCATCTCTGCCGATCGCTTCAGCTTCGTCGCGGATTTCTTTGCGCGCAGCGCTAACCTCAGAATAAAATTACAGCTTTGGTTTCCTTCTGATCTGGATGTTGACAACATTAACAAGGTTAGATGAAAGTACATACCAAATTGTTCAAAGCTCTGGCTCAGGTGGTGTTTGGATCCAAGGACTTAACTTTAGTCTCTTTATTTATACACTAATTTAGGGTATTAATTATATACTACTTACAAAACTAATTATATACTACTTACAAAACTAATTACATAAATGAAAGCTAATTTGCGAGGCAAATTTTTTAAACCTAATTAATCCATAATTAGAGAATGTTTACTGTAGCATCACATAGGCTAATCATGGATTAATTAGGCTCAATAGATTCGTCTCGCGAATTAGTCCAAGATTATGGATTGGTTTTATTAATAGTCTACGTTTAATATTTATAATTAGTGTCCAAACATCCGATGTGATAGCGACTTAAAAGTTTTAGTCCCATCTAAACAGGGTCTCACTGTGGCTGTAAACTTATCAGATCCTAAGTTTCCCATTTGTCTGTGCTGTGCATGACAGTCTTGAACCAACTCTGAGAACCTCATGGAGGTGAACTAGACCCTCCTTGTTCTGTACTGACATTAGCTAATGCCTAATGCAGAAGATGTGCTAAGAAATCATTGATAAATTCAGAAAGTTGACATGCTTTTCTGAACAGCTTTGCACAGGATGATTTGCGTGTATTGTCAAGACATCGACAGATATACAATATTACTTGAAGTAATTGACCTGCTGTACATACAGAGGAAGTATTGTGGTATGCAGATAAGCCTGATAAACATTTCGGGTATGCGATCTTCAGCGCTTCTTGGGTATCCAAAAGCAACTGAATTGATTTGAAAAGGCAAATGTAAATCGATCTGGCCATGAAACTTGCGCAAAAAAAGTTTGATACAATTTGAATTCTAGTTTGGCATGTACCTGATCCAACGCAATGTATGACCTTCGGCATAGCAGATCTAGAGCATCTATCAGATGGAGGATCTTGTTAATGATGCTTGCTGACAACAGGGACTGGTTTGGTAATGGATCACTAGCAGGATTGCAGTTTCCACCACCCTCAACAATAGTTGTCAGTAATGCCAGGCCTTCATGTCTGTTGAAAACGCCTGAAGCCTCCTGCAAATTCTGGTTATGAGGTGCAAATTGTCATGCTTTAGGCCGATTTTGTTGGTGTGGCCGAATTTTGTGTGTGATAAGCAAGGGGGCCGCCAAGAGGATTCAGCAATGCTTCTCCTCAAGGCATGATGATCCTCAGAGAAAGAGGATGGCCCCATCGGTACAAGGACAATCTACAATGATATATGCAGAGAAAGGGAGAAGGGATCAAAGCATCTGATGGAAAATGGCTAAGATTTAATGAATCAGAAACAGAAAGATGGAAATGGAAGAGGTTTATAATTAGCATAGTAGTTTCTTGAGGCAGCCAGTGTTGGCTAAAATTAAGTATCCAAGCTAAAAAGCAGCTAATCCATGAGGACATGTGGTTATATGTTTGTGTGGAGGGTAACCCACGGTAAATACCAATGCTTTTTCCCAAGAAGTGGATATGGTCACACAGACACATTTTTGTCTTAAGTTGTTCATACCATGGGTTCTGAAATCTGAATAATGAACAGCAATTCCATCAAGAACTGACAAAAACTGGTTATCAAAGGATCTTCTCTTATGCAGCACTGAATCTAAGAACAATCTTGACCTAGCCTGGCTTGGGTGAGTACAAAAACAGAGATGGAGCACCAGTTCCTGGTTCATTCGAGAAGAAGACAAACTGAAAGGCAAGCAGGCTGACAGATCCATGGCACATCCGGAGTTCCCAATAAACACCTCGATGTGCATCACATCGATCGCTCCGCCCGGCCAAAAAACAAATGGAAAACAGAACAAAATCGGTCTATAAATTGGCTACTACGTCCTCATTGCAAGACTCCCCCGGCCAATCCATTGGTAGAACACAAGAACCGCTTGATGAGTAGTAGCACAAGAACACAAGAAGCAACCAGGTAGCAGGAGAAGGAGAGGTGAGATTACCTTACCTTGGTGAGAATCCATGGGGTCACTTGATGGCGACGCTGCCACCTCGCCGTCCTTCTCCAGCACCGGGAGCAGCGGCGACGGCAACGGCGGCGGCGGCGGCGGCGGTAGGGTCGGGATATACGCGTGCTTCGCGCTTGGCGGGTCGAACAGCCTCGAGTGCTACGAGCCCGGGGCCAACACGTGGCGCCGCGTGGGCGAGCTCCCCGGCGTCCCCGACGGCCACGTGCTGAAGGGCTTCGCCGTCGTCGCGCTCGGCGACTTCGTCTACGTCATCGGCGGCCGGCTGTGCCGGAGGGAGCGCGGCGGCGGCGGCGAGTACCGCGACACCGACGTCGACGTGCGCGGCGACGTGGTCCGGTACGACGCGCGCCGCGGGGAGTGGGGGCGGTGCGCGCCGCTCCTCGTCCCGCGCTTCGACTTCGCGTGCGCGCCGTGCGGCGGGAAGATCTGCGTCGCCGGCGGGCAGCGCTCGCTGTCCGGCGCCCGTGGCACGGCGGCGGCGGAGGTGTTCGACGCCGACAAGGGCGGGTGGTCGCGGCTCCCCGACATGAGCACGCGGCGGTACAAGTGCGTCGGGGTGACGTGGCACGGCCGCTTCCACGTCGTGGGGGGGTTCGCGGAGAGCACGTCGTCGTCGTCGCCGGCCGCCGCCGCCGACGACGAGGCGGCGGCGGCGCCGCCGGGGAGGGCCACCGCGCTGCTGCTGCTGCTGCCGCAGTCGTCGGCGCTGGAGCGGAGCTCGGCGGAGGTGTTCGACTGCGCGAGGGGCGTGTGGGAGATCATCCCGGGGATGTGGCAGCTCGACGTGCCGCCGAACCAGATCGTGGCGGTGGCCGGCCGGCTGCTCAGCTCCGGCGACTGCCTCAACAGCTGGAAGGGCCACGTCGAGGTGTACGACGGCGAGCTCAACATCTGGAGCATCATGGACCACTCGGCGATGCCGGACATGCCGCTGCTCGCCGCCCTCCCGCCGTCGGCGCAGCGGCGGTACCACACCATGGCCGTCGTCGGCAATCAGCTCTACTTCCTCGCCGGCTACCAGGTGGCGGCGGGCGGCGACGGCGGCTTCAGGACCGTCTCCCTGGTGCACAGCTTCGACACCAGTGCAAACCCCGGGCTGATGCCGCCATGGAGAAGCTTCCAGCCCACCATGGATCAGGATGGCGTGGAAGACGGCAGCAAGGAATTGTTCAGCCAGTGCTGCTCCGTGCAGCTCTAGTTGCAGAATTACACTACACAAGACCAAAGTCTACACAGTATAATGTATCATAGTTTTGATCACAGCACCATACTCTGTATCTCATCTGAATGTGTGTGACCCATAAAGATGGTCTCATCTTTGCTGAAAAATGGATCAGTGTAATTGATTGCAAGTATCTGAAATATGGGAAATGAAATCATAGAAAAGAAGGCATAATATAGGGGTAAAGCGTGGCAGAGAATACATCATGTAATCATCATTCAATCAGTTAATCAAAGGTTCAGTTATTTCAGGTGCCAACAAGTTGCAGATGAGTAACTTAATCAAGTTGTGACCTTCAGGAGCTTACGCCGACAACTTCACATGCAGAAACGGCGAGAAGAGATACAAGAACTAACTGAATCAGCTAATAATATGCCAATCTCGTCTCACAACTTGCTTATTGAACAACAGGATATACCGTATTACGTGCTGCAGTATTACCTTTCGTGTTCGTAAATCGAACTGAAATGAACACATACTAATTCTGCAACCTAGAAATAGCTGATTTTCCCGTAGGAGACTATCAGAGAATAAGATGGCTGAACAGATTTCAACCAGAGGGCACAACAGCAATTCTTTGTAAAACTCACCTTTGCATTCTATGACCGACATTGGTCCAACCAACTGTAATCATCCGTACTATTTGCATTACAGTGTTGATGAGTTCCAGCTTGCATCGACAGCACCCACAATTCTGTGATGAAGCAATGGTCCGGAACAGGCTATTATGCCTCTATCCAAGCCCTCTAAGAAAACACCCCTGGAGAAGTCGAGTGGGCGGCCCCCAGCATCTGTGATCACTCCGCCAGCTTCTCGAATGATAACCACCCCAGCGGCATGATCCCATATCTTCTCCTTGTATCCAGCTCTAGCGAATTTCATGAATATTTCTACATCCCCTCGTGCTATTGCGGCATATTTCACCATGCTGTACACACGCAGGGGTTGCTTCCTGGAATCCAAGCAAAACATATAAATATAACAGTACGATAAATCCAAAACTTGCAAATTACATGCTACAATAGATGGAAACGGACAACTGTCAAATGAAGGTGCCATTTAATTTTATACTGATGCAGAACCAGCATCCTATTCAGGAAACAGTTTCAAAAGAAGTATACTATTCGGGAAAGATCAGGCAATGGTTTGCAGATATGGCATGTAAATGTATAGAGTAGTTTTGGCTGTAGTTACACAATATTAGCATCCATAAAGGTTATGCATACCGCGCAGACATTAAACTCAAGAACTGACCTTAAGCCTACACTATGAGCAAGTCCAGCAGTGAAGGAATGACTTGTATTAGCTTTCTCAACGGGTTCACAGAATGTTGCTGAGATTGGATCACTAACAGTTGATACTCGGACCTCTCTTGAATTACGCCAATCAAGCTTGCCAAAGTCATGAACTAATGGTTGCATCCAAGCTTGGCCACATCCTCGGTGAGCATACATCACACAACCCTTATGCCAGGATCCTGATGTGGGAGGAGAAACCTTAGACATCAACCTGTAATATCGTTGGTGGTAGTTGAGCCACTCCTTCTTCATTGGATAATTTGGGCACCCAAGAACTCCCAATACAACTTCCCCATCTTCAATTAGCGCGAGAGCAACAGCGTATTGGTCCCCACGTACAAACCCAAGCGTGCCATCCACAGGATCAAGCACCCAAAACCTTCCTTTTGGACCTCCGATAGAGCTGCACCTCCTAATAGCTTGAAGAATATCATGAGCTTTGAGCTCTTTCTCTGGGGACCTCAGCCCATACTTCGGAGCTTCAATCAAGCAACCATTGACAGCAGCAACGACAGATTCAAGCAAAGCTGCACCATCGCTACTAGATAGCGTCTCATCATCTTCTTCGGCTACTATAGATATGTTTTCATCTTGAAAGCAATCCGAGAGTAGCCAGCTTACTATCGCTTGGACGCCCCAATCTGGAATAACGTTTGAAGGAAAGATTACTACTGGTAACCAATTACCACAAAAGCATAAATTTATTGCATCCAAAAGATACCAACCACAAAGTCACAATTCTTGATGGCATTTAACACAAAGATCTTCTTAAATTTGTGGGCCAAATAACATTGCATCAGATCAGATTTGATTTGACATATGACCATGTGGTATTATGAGCTATCTGGTATCTGGTATGTTGGCAACATGGAGCATGAGCTACCCACTACCATTGTACTCATACTGAACCTGGTAGTGGACCATTATTATTTAGTAGTGTTCTAACAGGCCAACAAGTCAAGTGCAAGTATTCAATTCTCTTCCTTAGGAAATCACAGAACATAAGAGTATAAGACCACTACGCACACGGTCGCTCAATTTCAAAGTCAACAACAATAACTAATTAAGCAACCATTCCATTTAGGAATTCGGACTGAATTAAGAACAATGAATCAGTATCAATCTGAATATTCTAATATGATGGAGCTCCAGTTTGACTAATCTCTCGCTATGGATTTTGGAGGCATACTAAATTGCGGCGACGAACTGACCAGTGCTACGAGCTCGCTCAGGAGTGAAGGCAACAAGACCAACCTGCGACGGTGACGGGGGAGCGGTCGATCTTGGAGTGGACGCTGCCGGAGGCGGAGGCGGAGGCGGGGAGGAGGAGCGAGCTCTGCACGCGCTGGCAGAGGGTGCAGGCGGCCTGCACGACGCGCACCGCGACCTCCATCTCCCTAGCGTAGTCCCTCCCGCCCCCGCCGATGCCGCGGCAATCCCACAGCCAGTCGTGCTCCGCGGTCCCGACCCGGGGTGACCCGCCCGCCGCGAGGTGGGACGGCGCCGCCGCCGCCGAGGGCGCGGGCGTGGACGACGGGGCGCTGCAGCGGCGGCGGACGACCGGCGCCCCTCGGCGGGGGCGGCGCCCGTCCCAGTCCGACGGCGACGGCGGCGCGGCCGCCGCCCAGGTGGGGAGGCGGAGGCCGCTGCATCCCATGGCGGTGAAGCCCGAAGCCCTCGTCGTCGTCGTCGGCGGCGGCGGCGGCGATGGATTGGTGGATGAATCGATCCGGTGGTTGCGAGATGCTCCTCCTCTTCTGCTGCTTCTTCTTCGTGTTCCACTTTTTTGGTTAGCCGGCAACGGTGGCGAAGGAGAGCGCGCGTGCGGGTGAAGCCCCCGCACCGTGGGAATCCATCTCAATCTGGAAAGCTTTCTTTGCAACACTTCTCATTTCTAGTGCGCACGTTATTCCTTATTTTTCCGTGCACATGTTTTTTAAATTTTGAAATAATATATTTTTTTTAAAAAATATTTCTTAAAAAGATATATTAAATTTACCTTAAATATATCTTTTACTAATATTTAATTAATTATGGATTAGTGATCATTTCGTTTTACGTACAAAATATCCGTCTCATCTATAAAGAACACAGTCTTTTTCACTTTCATTTCTTTTCTTTTCTTTCGCCTTGCTGAGTTGCTATCGCCCATTAGTAGTACTAGTACTATGTCCCACACGAGCATGACATGATTTGCCGCCACTCAACTGATATTTTTGTCATGGTTACTGGTTGATTCTCTTCCAACTGTATAGTACTTCTGATGCCTTAAATAACGCGTAGCTTAACAAAGAAGATAAAAACAATTCTTCTGCAATACCAAACAAAACAAGATGAGGTATAGTAACTAGTCATACTAAAAGCAAAACAAGATTAGGTATAGTAGTTCGTTACACTAAAATACAATTAAAATTGACAACCTCATAAATATGCATGGAATATCATTAAGTAGCCATCAATCCATGTGTTGCACGAGTTTGTAACTTTATATCATCACTAGAGAATTATCCAGTCTTTTTTTTTCTTTTTTTGGGATGTTTGCACGGAGTACAAGCAAAATTTGATGATTTAACACTCTATTCGTTGCCACTCGAGACGATGACTGAATATGTTAGTTGTTGTACATATTGGTTACATCATGCAAGTCTTTAATTTGAAATTAAAATAAAAAGTTAAAACTAAATTGAGAGCATAGGATGTATAGACTTCGTATTCATAATTCTAACATTAAAATTATTAAAATAATAAAATACAATTAATAAGTCCATAGTTTTTATAAATTGCATTATTATTGACACACAAACTTTAAACTACTATTTACGGTAGGTCATATCAACCTGATGTATGAACATTTTTCTGGTGAATGTAAGAGTTAATTAGGGCAGATACAAAGACAATTAATAAACAGACTTTTAAGTTGCTGACATATAAGAGAAATGAAAAAAAAAGAGAGAAATATACTTGTTAAATGTGACAATGGTCGTCGACTCTAGGCGTTTATAGAGGAAAACTTTAGTATATATGGATAGAGAAAAAAAAAGAAAGACATGTGGTAGAAAAAAAATTGTGCATTAATTAGTATAGTCATTTGTCCTCTCAAATGTTGTAAGAGAATAGCATTTTAATGGAAGTCTATATCAGGCCATACCTCAGAAGGTATCCGTTTTAGTACAAGTATGATCCACCAAATTAATGATTATATCTTTTTAATTAATGTGAGAGTATTCTCCAAATGTTCAATTACACAGATATATAGACTTTCTATTCTCCAGTCAATACCAACTCGCCCCGAATCGATTCATTTTCAAAATATATAGACAATGTAGCAAACAACGTTTATACCGTATTACTCCCTTCTTTTCATTCATATTATTTATTATTTAGTTGTTTGACTTTTTTTCATAGTTAAACCTTTTAAAGTATAATTAAATTTATATAAAAATATAGTAGTATTTTCAACACAAAACAAACAAATTATCAAAATATATTCAATGTTAGATTCAATAAAACTATTTTAATATGTTAGTAATATTTTTCTATAAACTTGATCAATCAAAACAAAGTTTGAATGAAAAAAAGTTAAACGGCTTAAAATATGAAACGGAAGGACTAGCACTTAGGAAGTACTTATCTTTTTTTAGAAGGCTGGACCAGATTTCAGCTATCTGGGCCAATTTTACTCAACCAGGCCCAAGGCCCATCTCAATATCCAGTCGACGAGTCAGCAGCAGAGACGCAGAGTGTCAGCGCGTGCGTGGACTCATCGAGAGGAGCAAAGCAAAGCGAGCAGCTGAGCCCCGACGAGGTAGGGGGAGAGATGAGGGCGGTGGTGATCGCGCGCGCCGGCGGGCCGGAGGTGCTGGAGGAGCGGGACGTCGGGGAGGGCCTCCCGCCGCCGGGGGAAGGCGAGGTGCTCGTCGGGGTGTCCGCCGCCGGCGTCAACCGCGCCGACACCGTCCAGCGCCAGGGCCGGTACCCCGCGCCGCCCGGCGCGTCCCCTTACCCGGGCCTCGAGTGCTCCGGCACCATCCTCGCCCTCGGCCCTAACGTCCCCTCCCGCTGGGCCGTCGGTGACCAGGTGAATCGGTGATTGCCGCCGCCGCCGCTGCCGTTTGGATTAGGACGTTAGGTTAGGGGGTGTTTAGATCTAGGGTTTAAAGTTTTAGCGTGTTACATCGGATATTATATAGGGTGTCACATGAGGTGTTTAGGCACTAATAAAAAAATTAATTACAAAATCCGTCGCACTAATAAAAAAACTAATTACAGAATCCGTCGGTAGACTGCGAGACGAATTTATTAAGCCTAATGAATCCATCATTAGCAAATGTTTACGGTAGTACCACATTGTCAAATCATGGAGAAATTAGACTCAAAAGATTTGTCTCGCAAATTAGTCGTAATCTATGTAATTAGTTATTCTTTTAGCATATATTTAATACTTCATGCAGATGTTCAAACGTTCTATGTGATAGGATGTAAAATTTTGGGAGATTTGTTTTTCCCCTTGCAGGTGTGCGCGCTGCTCAGCAGCGGCGGGTATGCGGAGAAGGTGGTGGTGCCGGCGGGGCAGCTGCTCCCGGTGCCGGAGGGGGTGTCTCTGACGGACGCCGCCGGCTTGCCCGAGGTGGCCTGCACCGTCTGGTCGACCGTCTTCGTGACCAGCCACCTCTCCCCCAGCGAATCGTTCCTCGTAAGATAACTTCTCTCCTTTTCAATCCCCCATTGACTCCATGATTCATTCCTGAGCACGGTGCATCCTTGGTGTTTGCAGATCCATGGTGGATCGAGTGGAATTGGTACATTTGCTATACAGATTGCAAAGCACCTTGGAATTAAGGTTTTTGTTACTGCAGGTTTGTTTATAGTAGAACAAGAATAGATACAGTAGGGAGTATATAATAGGATGTTGCAGAGATCGCTCAAGTAAATGCTGTTACACTATGTGTTTGTAGGTAGTGAGGAAAAACTAGCTGCCTGCAAAGGTTTGGGTGCCGATGTATGCATAAACTACAAAACTGAAGATTTCGTTGCACGTGTCAAAGAAGAAACAAATGGAAAGGGTATATCGCACGCGTTCACCATTTTTGTGTGTTCATGTTCATATTATTTTCCCCAGCCAATTGGTACTTATATGCAGATGGATTTCTTATAACGGCATTTCTCCATGGAACTGTCTATAATGTTTGATACCTGCCAAGTTTGCATATGCTTTAGTGACTCTTGACATGGAAGTATATTTACCAGGTGTTGATGTCATTCTGGACAACATCGGTGGATTGTATCTTCAGCGTAACCTGAACAGCTTAGCTGTTGATGGTAGACTTTTCATCATTGGTTTCCAAGGAGGCGCTGTAACTGAAGTGAACCTGCAACCCATGCTTGCTCGACGATTGACCATACAAGGTAACGTTGATCTATAGGCAACAATGTCCCTCATACTAGATTTTTGTGTTTCTAGTTTTGTTATTTACGATCTTATACCACTGCTGGTTGTTGCCTTACTGAGAATCACAATTATGTGATTGGATGATACCTAAACGATATCGCTGATTTTAGCATGTGTGGAAATGGTATGATTCTGTGCAGCTGCTGGACTACGCAACAGAAGCCTTGATAATAAAGCTCTGATTGTCAGTGAGGTGGAGAAAAATGTATGGCCTGCCGTTGTGCAAGGCAAGGTGAAACCAGTAATATACAAGACGTTTCCTCTGTCAGAAGCTGCTGAAGCTCACAAGTTGATGGAAGAAAGTTCCCACATTGGCAAGATACTATTGATTCCATGAATGTATTGGTATCTTGTTTGTGCTCTCACTATCGGAGCCACTTTAAACACTGTATATTTGGTTTGTCCTTTGATCTTGCATGTTGACAAGAGTGGACGTACTATGTCAGAAAATTATGTGTCACAATACATGAAGAAAGTTATGTACTCATGCTCTCTCAACCAACGGATCATTTGGATATAAATGCGATTGCTTGGTTTGGAGTCCCTGGCATTGGTGTTATTCATGATGATGACACTAGAGTAGATTTTTAAAAGGCATGATTAGCACCAAATGATGATGCATGATGTTTATATAATGCAAGTACTTTTTTTTTGGATGGATCTATATTGCTACTTCAAGAAATTTGAATATATGTATGCACAACTTGATGTCATGATGGTGCAGCTAGTAGATGTTTAAGAAACATGATTAGCATCAAATGATGATGCATGATGTTTTCATAATGTTACTTCAGACATTTGAATATATTACTGCACCACTTGATGTCAACGCATGGCCAAATGTGGGCACGGACCAAACAAGAAAGGAACTGGATATGGCCATTAAGACAACGTATATTTACAAATACCAAACAGCCTTGTAAGGGCCAGTCAAGGATAACTTATAACTGAATACACCACTCAAATGAACCAAAAATCTTCTATTTGCACTGGTAGTTTGCTAGTCAGGAGCAACCACTTCAAAATGGCATGTGTAAAACTCACTAACAATTGCAAGCAAAGTAATATTCTTGCTACAGTAGCTATTTCTCCTACTTCATACTTCACCACTCTACTAGGCCTCCCGCTAGTTCATATGTCAAATTTTAAGGAAGATGAATGCTAAACTACAAAAGAAGTATGTAGTAATGTCATTATTCTTGTGTAAGGTTCGATGTAACAGTGCAATTGCATTGCTGTTTCATGATCTGAATCTGCCTCTTCAACACCTCATTATCCTGCAGTTGTGAAAACGAGCATCTCAAAAGAGTTGAAAAAAAATGAGCATAAGCATGGTAACACCTAAGAGAGTGAAATATATGGAGAAACCAGGAGAAAGCGCTCAATATTACTGAGGAAGCATAGAGCTAATATTATGTTAGGGTGTTACAACGAGAAGCATCAAAGTTTGCCCCCAAAAGGTTACCTTTTTCAATAGGCTAAATCTCTTAGTTGAAGCAGAGAGTGAGGCCTTAGCCTGTAAACAAGATTCTCAAATGAGCACTGCAGAAGGAAACTGAGGAAAGCTGTGTACAAGTACATAATATAAATAGACCAGACCTTTAAAAGTTCATCTTGCATCTGTTTGTTTTTCGCAAACTCTGTGTCATATTTCATTCTCCATTCAGCAGATTCATCCATTGCTTCTAGGTTGGCACGCTCAAATTGCCTCCTGCAAAAGATTGATGCAGAAAAAAAAGTGCAATTGAAACTATCAGTCAGCCTCGAACAAATTGGACAGGCATGGGTTGATATTTCACAGCCCAACCGTTTTGCTTATGTTTATGCTAATAACATTTTGAATTTTAAAACTCAATTTTGTGGGTTTTCTATCATAGTTTATTTACAAAATAACAACTAAAGACACGTATATAAAAGTTTTATCCATAAATTATTTTTTGGGTTACTAATAAGCTGTATAGATTTTAAGTAAAAAAAAGTCGTAAGCATAAGCATAAGCGAAAAGATGGGGCTGTCAAGCTACCAATGTGGAAGGAGAATGAGGACCGGGTAACAGCTTAACCTATGCCAGCCAGGAGTATTTTGGCAAGAACACATTTCAGTCAAAAAGGGCAGAGACATATTGACACTTGACAGGAAACAAAAATAGAAGACAAAAGCCTCCAGAAACTTCCCCTTGATAAACCTACGAGCAATGGCAGTTTCGCACTTTTTAGTTATCAAAGCATCTAGGGTGAATGGTTAATTGCAGATAGACAATAACAGTAAAAAAAACCATTCTACGTTAGGAACTCCTTTTTGTCTCTGCGTTACCACTAAGCAGGGACAAGCCATTTCAGGAGCTGATCTCATCCCTATCATGGAAGATAAGAATGCAATTCACAGGGCCGTGACAATGATGCCACAAGGTCTAAATGACTAAATCGAAGGTTTAGCCAGTGCCAAACGCCCAACAAGCACCAATTTCCCCTGTCAATTCGTATTTCAAAAGCAAGGCGTCCATGAATTCCCAGCCACGGATCCATTTCACCAAACAACAACAGGTTTCCTCCGTTTTTTAGCTCGACCGAGAGATCCTTATGTCCAATTCGCAAGAGTAAAATGAAGAGGAGAGGAAGGAGGACGAACCGGAGCTCCTCGCGGTCGTCGACGGTGAAGGAGGGGTCGGTGGACTGGCGCGCCCAGATGCGGAAGTAGACGGCGGTGCCCATCAGCAGCGCCACCGCGAACGCCACCATCAGCGCCCGCCTCTCCTGCTTCCGCCCCGCCCCTCCCCATCCTCCTCCCCCTCCTCCTCCTCCTCTTCCCCCCACCATCCCCCTCCGCTTCCTCCTCCCTCCCGCTCTGGATCACACGGACACACACACACAGCTCCACCTGCTCTCTCTGTCAGGTCAGGTCACAAGGCGCATCAGCTGCTTCTGTCTCGTCGACCGGTACACGACGCTCGCACGGCCCATTTATCGGCCCAATTGGCTAAGGCCCAGTTTCTACGGTTACTTTCTCTACCGAACTATTATAAACTGTGTGCGCGCGCGCGTTTTAAAAAAAATTCCACATACAAGTTTTTTTTAAAAACAAATAAATATATGGGTTTTAAATTTATATTATTTAATACTTAACTAATCATGTGTTAATTAGACTTTTCGCTTTGTGTGCAAATGTTTAGCCTGTACACGATCTCAGCCTTCAGTCGTTACGAGTTAGTAAGCTTTTTCGCTCCTTTGCGACACGATGACAAGAATTTTACAGTACTTTCACAAAAATCAGTTTAATTCCCACAAAATTCCCTTTTCAAAGGAAGCCTGTAATAGTAGAAGACAAATTTACGGAGAACTAGCCATGGAGAACTCTGATCGAGCTACTGTCAGCTACAGGATGGCTGATTCTGCTCCTGAAAACGTTTATATACAGCTACGGGATACCCAGTAAAAAAGTTACTTCATGCACCAAGGCATAGTTGCTGCTCTTCATATGCTCTGAATCTGAACTAGCCGCGGCGGAGGCACAGGCGGTGGTAATGTAGACAGAAATTCCTCCGACAAGACGACGATGAAACGGTGAACGCCAATTGCAGCGGAGACCACCGAGATAGCAAACATGTTCCAGCTCACTCTGACCATCAGGATGGGGTCCTCTCTTATGTCCCTGACGAACTTGGAGAATATCACCTTCAGCCTGCGATCTCTTACTGCTGTCTGGAATGTCACCAAGGCTGGTGCTTCTTTGGACAGCCCCAGGTCTTCATCGTTCTTTCCTGCTGTCACGCGTGGGTGAGGCTCGAGCTGTCCGGCTCGTTTAAAACCAGTTGCCTTCACCATCCACTGGAAGATGACATCGGCAAGTACCCGACTTAAGAGCACCCGGTAAATCGATGCATCTTTGGAGATCAGGTCACGAGCAAGTGACTTCGCGTTCTGTGCAACAGGAAGTATGGTGAGCTCAGTTGATTTCTAGTTTAGTGTGTTTTATGCGTTCAGAAATCCAGCCAAAAGGGCCAGTCGATTCAGGTAAAGAGGGGAAACAAGGAAAAGTACATACCGCTGTCATTACAAGTCTCCTTATCACAATGCTCTCCTTCGATAGTAAAAGCCGCAAGCACAGATTTGCAGTATGTAGTGCTCTTTCTGGTGTAGCACGGTTAAGATGGAGTGAAGAAGATGCATCACTGATCTCTACAAGTTTTGCAACATCCAAACCCTTCCTCTCAGGCAAAACGCCAGTATTATACCTGAAGTTACCCCTTCACATACGAAAACATCATCAGATGCATCTCGTGAAAACTAAGCAAGTAAGCATCATAGTAGAAGAAATTCTGTTCATACAGTTTAGTGAAAAAAACATGATGTTTACACACAATTCTGCTCAGAACTAGAGAACTGACCTTGCTGATGCTAATTTTAGAAATACTGTAATCTTGTTCCACTGAAACTCTTTCCTTTTGTTGAAAATAGCCTGTGTATTAATAATTGGTGTCAGAACTCTATTATCATCGATGCCATTTCCCTTGGGTGTTTGACGTTTGATATCGTGAACTAACAAAACTCAGAATTTCAAATTTTATTGCAGGATTTCTGTACATCTCGTACAAACGAAAATGGGTGAGTTGACTGTTTCAAAGAGCACATATTGTCCAGGTTGCACAAAATATAAGAAAAGTGAATCAATTAATTAAATCAACTTAACATATATACTATACAGGTAAACAAATGAGGTAAAATAATAATACCTGATGCAAGAGTCTCCTTGTTGCAACTGAATTATCCGATAGAAGCTTCCGCACAACATATGGATATGCTGCTTGAAATGTTTTAAAAGTTCCATCTGCTGCAATGGCCAGCCCTACAGATTACACAAAAGGGGACGCTGGTAAGCCTCCAAAAAAAAACACATGCTCAAATATGTACAAGTCAGAAACAAAAAAGCAACACATACTTATAATTGAGCTAGTTCAGTACTGAATTTCATCTAAACAAACTAACCTTCCAAAGAGGCAAGTGACCTCAGGACGAGCGTGTAGTACGGCGGCATACGGAAGTGGTATTTAAATGCCACAGACCATATTTTTCCAAGCACCTAAAGGATGTTTTTAACAGTTCAGGAAGATGCCGATAAAGAGAGAGACATGCCGCAGTTTATAACTGAACTTAAAGAGGGAAAGCTACACACCCTGCTAAACTTGATATCTGGAATTCCATCTTCAAAGGTCACCTCACCCAACGCATCCTCCAAGTCCTACCAATCAACAAACATTAAAAATAATAATGGAATAACAAACTAAATAACACTACAAGCTCCCTTTCCAGATTTGTAAAACTAGGATGTGTCCCATCCATCCAAAATCCCTTATATTTTGGGACGGAGGGAGTATGAGATAAGAACCTTTGTTTTTTTCCATCTTGTAATAACCATAAATAAATAAATATTCTGCATTTTGATGAATTACCATTGTCACTCGGCGTAGATTAGTTCTTGGTGGAACAACATCCATTGCAGTCAAATCATAAACAAGAGAAGCCCAATCTCCATTTACTATGTGAACGATACTTGCAAGCATAGCATGCTGATGTTTCTTCTCCATCATACAAAGCAAACCAAAATCAAGAAACCTAACATAATTAGGAAGGTGTTACTATTGCTCAAAGGGAGAATGACAGAGGAAAACCATTACAAAAACATCAGACCCACTGTATAACATGATTCTGCTGATTATAGTAAGAAGACATTTTCTTATAGAGCGTACATAAAAAGATAAATTAACACTAACCCGACACGACCTTCAGGTGTATAACGCAAATTCCCAGGATGAGGATCAGCATGCAACAAACCAGTCTCGAGGAGCTGCACTAATGATGCTTCGACACCTTTGTTGACCTTATCATCATAGTAATTAACAAGATGTTAAAACATTTTGTCCAGAGGGGAAAAATGTTTATTGAAATGTAGTAATTGTTGTTATAATGTTTATATTTCTACCACAGCAGAGAGAAAAGAACATCAATATTGAAGTGATAGATATTTATAAAATTAAGCTGCGTGTTTCTGAAACAAACACAATATTGCAAAGAACCATGTAAACTGCAGTTTCTAACTGACAAAAAAGCCCTATTCACTGAGCACGACTTCAATTCCAAATATTTGCTACCCGGGAGCACTGATTGTTGTGGATTAATTTATTTATGGTGCTCATCTTTTTACAAATGAAGCAGATAATTTAGAAATAACTTGTGACGAACATAAATACCAGGTCAAGAAGACGGGCTGTTGCTTCGATCTTCTGCTTCTCTGACGATTCAGCAATTTCTGATGAAATTCCTTTAGATAAGGAAAGCAAATCTGTGGGATTTTCACCAGATACCCACTCCATTGTCAAAACTCTTCTCCTCGTAAGTTGCTTGAGAACCTTTGGAACCAGCATAAATGAATATCTGGAATGATATTCCTACAGAAGTACAAATTATGAGATAAAACGCCAAAACAGGAATAGGCATATGTTAGTAAAGTATAGGTAGGAGACAAGACCAAAGCACCAGGAATTTGGTAGCATTAGCAGCTTCAATATTGTAGTCCAACTCGCCAACCAAACCTTTACCCAACTCATCAGCATAGAGGGCAATGTTGCTTTTCCTCTTTGCTACCTTCCTCACAAAAGAAAGCTGAAACATATATGGTAGAAAAGACATCAAGTTGCTAGGACTATAGTGGAAAAATGCTGCAATGCTATAATTTTGTAAGCAAAATAAAGAAATAAAATGAAGTGCAAGAACATTTAATCTAAATACAGATAAACTTAAATGAGACAAGGTCCATCTGTATTGAAAGAAAGTACTGTACAATGTTTCTTGTGTCAGCACAGGTTATCATAGTCACATTAACACTCTTAATTAAACACAAAATCAGGGAAACGGTAAAGCTTGTTTAGGGACAACAAAATAGAAGGCATCAGGTATTATGCTCATGCTGAGGATCAGAAGATGAACTTTCTTTTTTGTCAAACAGTAGGCGAAGAACCTATGGTGTATATATCTTCTATGAACAAGATGTGGGCATTAGCACTTGGCAGAATTAAAAACACTCAAAAACAGATGAGCTTATATATTTAATGGAGATATAGTTGCATACGTACCCCAAGCCGTAGAATATAAATGTCCCTCAATACTGAAGGAAGAAGGTTAGGCCGTTGAACCTTTATGGCCACAAGAGCACCATCAACTGTACGTCCCTGATAAACCTAAAGTACAACAAACAAGAGTACACTGAGCATAACAGAAAAATTGAAAGAGATAGTACAGAAAAATATAATAAGGCTTAATCAGAAACTACAAAGCTCCTGTCTCTAATATTTAAAAAAGAACGGGAAAAGTTTTGCAAGATATGATTACCTGTCCAAAGGAAGCTGCAGCAACAGGCTCATCAGAAATGTAACTGAAAATGTGTGATACAGGGAGCTCAAATTCTCCCTCAATAATCTTCATTGCATCTTTTCTCGGGAAGGGAGGAACCTTTTCATGTAACTCGGCGAGTGCCTATGATTGGGGTGTGCGCCAGTTAATTTTGAGAAAGACTATGGAGATTGTTTAATGATCAACAAAACACTTCTGAAGATGATGAAGCAATTAAAGAAATGCAGAAATGTTATTGTATCCTGCAGTAATTTTACCTAACCTCAGAAATCTCCGAGCCTGTGATATCAGGCCTTGTTGAGAGGGACTGTCCAACTGCACACAGAAGACAAGCAAGTCAACATTAATCCGAACCGAGTGGCCACTACCATGGCTTAAAGCTATCGAACCTGAAAACCTGACCTTTAACAAAAGTAGGCCCAAGATCTAGAAATGTCTCTTTGAGAAGCTGGCCAACCATGTATTGTGAAGCATTGAAACCTTTGCTTCCGGTGCTATTACAGCTGTAGGTGGCATCTGTGATCAAGTTTGTTCTTTTAGAAATTTGCATCTTTACTGCAGCCGAGACAAATGCGAAGATTATCTACAGATACAGAAGCATGGCACACTGAACTATTAGATTTATCAGTTGAAGCTTAGTAAGAGCAAAGATGAACAGTAATTACAGCTTTTACCTGAATGGTGCGAAATGCGAGAATATGAGGACGCGAGGTGAAGTAACGGGACAGTATCTCCGGATCGTAATGCTGGGGTAGAGGAGTGGTGAGAATGGCTACATAGTAGTTGATGTACAACTTGAGAGCTTCGATATCAGCCATCATCAGCTCCATACAAGACAGCCCTAGCAAAAATCATAAAACAAGTTAATAATGCAATCGATGAAACTTAAATGATTAAGCAACAGCTAATTGGGCACTGCTTGGTGTAAGCAACCTGGAGGGTACGATGGGGGAGGGAAGGCCGGAGGTTGAAGTGTCTGATTCTGCTGCTCTTGTTGCTGCTGCTTCTTCTTCTGCTGCTGCTGCTGTTGCTGGAGTTTTGGTTTAGGAGTTTGCTGATGCTGAGGTTGCCGCTTGCCTTTGAGAAATTGCTGCTCGATTGCATGCTTCGAGTAGCCGATATACAGCTTCAGGGCTTCGAAATCAGCAGTCATAAGATCCAGGCATGATAATCCTACCAATTGGGAGAATCCCCATCAGCAACAGGAACAATGCGTGCGCAACGGAGCCCAATCGAGATGCTTCTCTGCCGCGCGGCGACAAACCTGGCTGGTAGGAGGGAGGTGGGAAGGATGGGGCTTGGATAGCCGCCGCCGCTTCCTCTTGCTGCTGCTGCTGCTCCGGAGGTTTGGGTTTAGGTTTTGGTTGCTTCCGCCGCCGCTGCTGCTTCTTCTTCTCGAGGAAGCGGAGCCAGAAGATGTCGCGGAGGGGGGCGCCGGCTGCCGCCTGGAGGAACTCGCCGTCGCGGCGGAGCACTCCGAGCACCTGGTCCAGCGCCCCTCCTCCTCCTCCTCGGCCACCATTCCCGCCCGGCTGCCGCCGCGGCTGGTGCGGCAATCTCTGCTTGTTCCCGCCCCACCACGACCGCTGCTGCGGCGGCGACCGCTTGTCGTTACCGCCGCCGCCCGTCATGGCGCAGACGGGCAGCACGGCGGGCCGCACGAGCGCCGCCATGGCATCGGCTCGGCTCCAGATTCCAGAAGCTTCTAGCAGCAGCAGGAGAGCGCGCGAGCACTAGCAGCGGTGGTGGTGGTACAGCGAAAGCGTGAAGGAGAAGATGCCTGGCCACACGCTCCGCACACGTCATCGGCGCATCACTCGTCTCCACAGATAGCAAAAGAACAAAGCCCATTCAGCTTCGCTTGTCGCCAAGGCCCACGGCCCATCACTACAAATGGTTGGATCGGCCCAAACTCCGTACTCAAAAGGCTAGGCCCATCATAATTCTACACATTCGGGCCATGCACAGCCCGCTACATTGTCTAAGGAAGGATGCTTATCAGTTCTCAGTTCTCAACCACAATGTAAGAATAACGGAACAAGATCATGCAAAATGCAGAGGAATTCTTACTCCATTTTGAGCAACATTTCAAACACAAATCTGAATGGACAGAAGAAAAAACATTCATGTGCACGAAATGTAGGGATATTATCACAATGGTAGAAGCATCTGTTGCATTCAGGATTACAGATACAACTAGAAAAGTGAAGAAAAAGCTGAGTTAACAACAGAAGACACGCCCTTGGCTTACATAGTCTATACACATCAAGCATACACACATGGGGTGATGCTTTGTCAGGCTCCTAGGTACGTAGGAAGGAAGCTTCCATGGACTGCAGGATACTCGCTGTGTCGAACCTGAAGTTTCGGAAGCTTTTACCTGGGCGGCTGTCAAGAGTTTGTGGGTCAGATCCTGTTCTAGTAATAACGGGGTTCTCAACAGGCGCCGCTCCAGTTGAGGAATTCTTCGCTTTCCACACAGTACCTGTCAAATGATGTGTGGTACCATAGATGTTATCACAATTATAGAGGCAAACGGTATATGTAGCACCAGAGGTTCACCAATTTTATCACAAATTACATACTAGGAGTACATTGCACCAGGTTCACCAATGGTACTACACACACTATGTACTAAAAGTTGATCATAAGTATAGCCATGAGTTCATGACTATGCCAGGATCAGACCTGCTTTAATTATGTACTAGCTGATATTTTGCTCAGTTGAGAACTACTTCTGCAGATTAACTTAGAAAACAACAAGCGAAACTTGAAGCAGAACTGCTAAAAATAATTGACAAATAATTTAACATTTTTAGGTCCTAACATAAATGGGCAAAGGGAGGATCAGAAGAAACCTCTAGCAGACGTGTCTGATTTCTGATACTGTGGGTGACGATGTGTGGCTATCCAGGCTTTTAGACCCCTGGATGAAGAAGTAAAATGTAAAGGAATTAAACAATGTAGAAACAAATTCACACTCAGGAAATGTGGATGCGGGTTAAATATTTTAGAAGCCATTAAACCAACATGCTCATGATGACTGTCTGCACCAAGAAAAAAAAACTAAAGTGGGTCAAAAAGGTACTGACTGCAAAAATGGTGCGACCATATAGAGCTTCATCCCATTCACTCCACGAGATATTGCGTCATCACCAGCAGGAAGGAGTTCATCGATGTTGTGCCATGAGATCTCCTGTCAATTTCAGAGGATCACGACTCAGTAATGCCTATTTAACTCTCTTTAACCAAAGAGAGGTTCAAAACTCAAAAGGGTCAATGGATAAACTACAACGAAAAAAACAATAAATTGTAGTTACAGTAACTACAGTCTTCAAGTAGACACAAGGTAGTAAACACAACCACACAAGACAGCTAGCATTGCAAGTGATTCATACACCAGCATAAAAAGATAAAGTACCTCAGTCAGCAAGCAAAAATATGTGGCTGAACATGTACTAACTTGTCAGTTAAGTAACAATAAAGTGATTACAGAATGCTTCAAATTGAGTCTCTTCTCAACTGAGTTGAAATTTAGCAGATCATTATGGAAAAAAAAATCTGTAGAACAGCTTGTTAATCGGAAAGGAGCTATTCCTTACTATAAGCTAAGCACACACGAAGGATTATGGCCATTAATCAAACAATCAAAGTCATATTGTATCATTTTGCAATCATGTCACGCAATTCCCCTTTTCGTTTTCAGATAGCGAGTCCAAAATATTCTGAATGTAGTTGAGCAAAAAGAAATATGATAAAAACACTGAACATTTGCGTACACTGATCTCCTTCTTAGTTTGAGGCGCAAAAACAGTATCCCCCTTAACACCAGTTATAATATAAAGGCGGACTCTTTGCTGCCACATTGAAACTTCAATATAATCTTCCAATTTTAAAAGCTTCGAAACATCACACCCAGTTTCCTCTAGAACCTGCATTGTTATGTAAATAAATGTCACTTACATAGACTAGTAATGCAATAAGCAAAGGGAAGTGCAAAACATGGAAACTAGTTCACGAAAGCTAAGACGTGATCACTGCATGTCTTTAAAAAAAATTATGCACAGGACCAGCTGACAATATTTAGCTAACCAATGCTAAGCTTTTTTTGTTCCTTTTTAAACATGAGATAGGCAATGCAATTCATTTTTAGAGAAGAAACAACAAATGGTGTATGCAATGGATTAAAATGCAAACACTAAATGAAAACAGTAAGTGTTGGAGCATGGTAGAATATCTAGAACTTTGATATTTGAATTGTAGAAAAAAGCATCTTGATGATCTAGAGAAATGTAAAACTATTGTTCAGTGACTTATACAAATTTCTATCCTTTATAAGTCTAATTTAATTGATAAAACTGCAAAGAACAACATCGATTCAGCCCAGAAGTTTACTTCTCTAACAGCACATGTATGATCTTCTTCATCTTTACTCCTCTTTCCACGAGGAAAACTCCAGCTGGCGCTAGACTTCCATCCCTTCACAAGCAAGCACTGCACAGAAGGAGAAAAAGTGAATGAAACTTGGGGTGTGAGTATGTGATGACAAAGTGAAAAAGAATGCGCGAATTGAGGTCTACAAGGGTTAAAGATCCAAAGATGTAATTTTTATTTGTGCCTAGTGCATTGCAGTATAGAGCTTGAAACTATACGCATTGAAGCGACTATACAATAAACCATCTACAAGGTATTTGCAGCAACAGACAAAATACCAGAATTACTTTAGCATTGTTTCCAAGCTGCCACACCCACACATTGTGCAACATAAGCAGCTACTCAGCTAAACTTAATCTAGGTAGAAAGTAATATGGTACAAGGTGATCGGGGTAGGGGTGTAGTTACCTTCTCGTAGGTGTCATCGAGGATGATGGCGCCGCAGACAGGGACACGGAACTTATAGTGAGTGAAATCCTTGTAAATGTCATCAAGGTGCGCGCGGTATGGCCTGAGCGCAGCACAGCTATTGAACACTGCACACATACACCACCACAACAACAATAACGGTGTCAGCGATCAAACCAACGGCGGAAGCGCCACCGATGAATCCAAGGTGGAGTTCGGCCGGAGCTTACTGAGCGTAGTGAAGTCCTTGAAGGAGAGCGACTTGAGGGAGGGGTTGTGCTCGACGGAGTTGTCCTCGTAGAACCAGTGCGCCTGCTCCAGCAAGAACAGGATCCGCTCGAACGACTCCAAATCCTCCTTGGGCACGTTGAGCACGAAGCGGCTGCGATTTTTCCGTTTCCACCGGCGATTCGATTCAGTTTTTTTCCGGGGGGTTTGATCTGAGCAAAAGCCGAGAAGAAACTCGCGAGATGGATGGGATCGAGGGTTTGGGATGGGGGCTACCTGCAGAGATCGTCGAGAAGCTCCTGCGGCGGCAGCTGCCCCCTCGACGACGACCGGTTGAGCCCCCCGCCGCCCGCCATCGCCATCCACCGCCGCCGCCGCGCCGCCCCCGCTCCCACCCCTCCTCTCTCCCTCTCTCGCTCGCCTCCGGAATCCACTGCCTTGTTAGTTGCTGCACAGTTCACAAGGCGCACTTTAATTTTACGTAAACTCTTTTCGAAGACGGAAAGGTGGGCCGTGGGCTACACCCTAATAAGGCGTAATTTTATTTTACGTAAACGAGTTTGGAAGGCGGAAAGTGTGGGGGCAAACAGTAGTAGATTAAAAATCGGAGGAGAGAGACAGCGAAGGAGCGGAGGAGCCGAGGCGGGGGGAGGGAGGCCATGATGCCGCCGGCGATAAGCTTGGCTCGCTCTCCGACGTCGTCCGCCTCCGCTTCTCCTCTCTACCCCGTCCGCCGATCCGCCGCAGTCGCCGTCCGGCACCACCGCTGCCCGTCCTTCGCCACCAAACCCGCTGCAGGTCTTATCTACCGCTCCAATTTTCTTGGCATTGATAAGTAATTGAGGTTATAATCGTAATCCTCTTTACAATTGGGTAGTATTGGATTATCCGGGGAAGATTAATTTGACAGCACGCAATCGGTTTGGTTCTCCCCAAAGGATGGGAGTGTCGTTTAGCAAATCGACTGAATTAGTATTTGGTGAATACCTTGCTCCAACTGGGGCATTTGGCTTAGAGTGTTGTCATTAGAAAGGGTACCATGCTACCTCAAAATGAATATATCGCGATAATTTGAACTTACTACACTAAACATTCAGTGTTTTATATGTTGGTCTTGTATGAGCTAACTGTAAATTTATCTGGGTTTATTTCACATGGTTGGCATGTGCCCATGAGAATGTCTACTTTGTTTTCAGGAGTTTGCTGTGCCAGCCCGGCGGTTGAATTGTTGCCATCTTTGAGCCCAGACATCCTGGTTCGAGATGCGCGGCTAGAGGATTGCTGGGAAGTAGCTGATACTCATTGCAGCTCGTTCTTTCCAGATTACACTTTTCCACTGGACCTTGTTCTACGTATTGATCGTTACATTGCCCTCCTATCCGGTTTTTCGGTTCCACCTGGCTGCATGAGAACTTGCCTTGTCGCCGTTAACAGTAATTCGCTTAGTAGAAGTATCAGCATTGAATGTGGAGATTTAAGAGATGCTGACTTCCAAGAAAAACACGGTCTCAGTAAGGCCTCCATAGCTGGCATTCTTACAGTAGACACGGTGGCAGACTATCTTCCCAGAAGAGGGCCTCTCAAGCAGAGAAGGTATACCTTTATTTTCTTCAAACACCTTATAAGATTGCTAACACATATACACATATGCAACTGCAAGATATAAATGGTTTGCTTATTCTTTGCACCTTAAATGCATTCACTCACTTTTCCAAAGCCTGTTTACCATATCCATTCTACTTATGGTGTTGTTTCCTTTTTGTCCTGACATTGATGTTCCTTTTTTTTTTGGTATCCCTCAGCCAAGTAATTATTCGTCCCATTACATTTGAAGCTTACTTTATTGGCTTGGGAATTTCTAACAGTTCATACCAAGCTACAAAAAATTGATAATTTGTTGTAATGCCTTTCCATCTCTGAAGGATATGTGCTAGTCAATAACAGATTAACACAGGTCATATTAAAAAAACATGCTAGTTAATAACTTAAATTTATTGTGCAATTGGAGCCTTGAAGACTACACTTGACTATGCAATGCCATAAAAACAATAACATATTATTTTATACTAATTGCATAAATGGGGGAACACCTGAGTTCCCATTTTTCAATTCATATACATTTTGCTAAATATGAGGTGCATGCAAAACTCAAATGCCAAATATGTTTTGTCTTAAACTACTTGTGTCTAGAACAGTGATAAATTATGATATGATTCCTTCCCATAAAATGGGGAGAGAGTATTTAAGTATACAAAGTAATGGTTCCCTTCTCTCATAACAGACAAGTGTTTCTTGCATGATAATAATTACTAAAGGAAAGCGTTTCTCTTTACCATTGGAGTCGGGAATAGAATTTCTGAACTATGCCACTGTTGATAGAAAACATGTGGCCTGGGAGGTCTGCTTAACTCCAGTGCAGGTCCAAAGCTCGCCTTCGGATGTGTTAGCGTGCCAGTTGATTTGATCCTGTAATCAACAAGAAATAGAAGCAAAGAAGCCGTGGTTAAATCTATAAATGATAGCCAATCGGCTAGATGCCGATGACATATCATTTATCTTTGAGCCGATGTCATCTGTGTATCGATCGGCGGTCATGAATAAGTAAAAAAGAACTAAATCTACTCGATCGGCTGTAGATATTAATGATATATACTCCTTATATCGATGTATACTTAAATCAAGTGATTGGGATAGATCGGTCATCATGCCGAGACAGTATAAATCACTTAGATCGAAATATATATCAATAACAGGACTATATATGTTTATAGCATAGCCGATCAGATAAATCTAGCATGTATCGGCTAATACTCCGATACTACTCCATACCAGGATATTAAAGCAAGAATAATGTATCAAACAAAGGCCTAACATATTTAGATACAGCAATATCTTGATATAAAGGGCAGATTTAACATATCAATGAGGCATATAGAATAAATATAGTTAAATCAGATACGATCAGCTGAAACTCCGATGCTATTCTAATCGGCAACTAGAAGGCAGGCTAGAGATCGATATTCTAAGCACGACTTAATAGATCAAACTCAACTGATGCAGCATTAAGTATGAAAAGAATAACGATATCTAGACAATCAAGCCGCTAGAAGTTTCATAGAATGGTAGATATCTCATATAATCTAGATCAACATCAATATTTAACCTAATCGGCTACCCTCTATTAACAGAAGTTAACCGATGGCAGGTTAGATGATGATATTGCTAGAGATTATGTAAGACATATGATAACTCGACGAATTACATAAACGGGATTAGAGTATCATAAAGATGGAAGCACTAATCCTAAGAACGCAATCCGTCATAACGAATTTTACCTCTTGTTGAAGATCGAAATCGATGCAGCTCAACCCGAAAGCAAGAACTCGTCGAAACAAAACTAAAGCAAAAAGGGTAGCGATACGCCGAGATTGTATTGAACGTGTGTTGTTAAATTACATAGGGCTCGGGGTCTATTTATGCCCGAGAATTACAAGATATGCCCATACCGGACATGACTATTATCTCTAACAAACTCTTAAGATACCATAAGTCTTTGCGGCAGACTTTTGCCTATATTTATCTATAAGGAATTTACATAAGATATCCTAATTAATAGATACAATTGCCTTCCCAGGACTCTATCCGTGCGTGGCAATCATCTTGAACTACATTAACTTGAACCCGATGTCGTGTACAAGTCATATTGTCGGAATCGGCTGTACCGGCTTACTTAGCCCGACTCAGACCTAGCCGATCCTAACCGTAGCCGATCTGGACTCCGGCCGATTCCTGCTCTGTTTCCGAACTCGATCTCCGCTTCCGACTTCGCTTTGATCCAATCTTCTTTCCTGACACCGATGTTACCAAATTTGGTTGTTAACAGCCACCTAAGCCTTGTTGCACTTATATTTCGTTGGAATTTCTGAAATACAGAAAGAACTATTAAATTAAAAAGAGTGAAACTCCACTAGCAGCATGCATAGTAAATCTGCATAGGACCCGGCAACTCAATCGTCATATAAAACCTTTTTGTTGCAACAAATTTCCTATCCGTGGCATCTTAATTTTCTCCCAAGCTTTGCACATAGCAGTATCATCTTTTTGGTTTTCACCATCCTCAGTCTTTTGATCACTGGTGCCAAGATGTAATATAAGTCTTAAGCACAATTGGTTTGAATCAATCAAAACTAAGAAAACTACAATCTTGGGCATAATACATAAAATGTTGTGCTCCATTTTTTCTCCAGGAATGCATAGTTAACTTAATGCTAGGTTTTAATTTATCATGATCTGTACCTCATCGCATTGAATTTTACCATCACATGTTTTTTCTCTATACTGTTTATCCTTTTTGTAACTACCATAGTCCATGTCATTCTCACCTTGTAAGTTTCTAAAGAAAAAAGCTATATATTGTCCTGATGCTTCGACATGAGTTGCTTCAGCTCCCGTTTATGGTTATAACTTGTATGTGCCCCCATACACTTTTCTGTTTGCTGTCCTTCCTTTTTGTTCTTTGACTAAGATCCAAAGGGAGATACAGTTATCTACAGCTAGACAAACACAACTTCATGCGCACTCTCTTTTCCTGTATTGACTGTCCACCTAGGGCACCATTTGTTGCCTTGGAATTTATTTGGAGATGTCTCTTTCCTTTCCTTGGGTGACTCTCACCTAGCTTTACTTGTACAAGATGAAAGAACTGTGTGAAACAAGAGGGCTCAGCCTACCTACAGAATTTTGAAGAAAATGCAATAAATATCATGAATTTCTTGTTCATTGTTGACTATTTCAAGAAAATATTTGTAAACAGTGAGCAAATTTGAATTTCAACTTGATTGGAAACATAGAGGAAAAACATGTGTTTTATTATATTTTTTGGAGAAATACATTTAAATGCAGTGCAACTTGCCTGGGTTAAAATGAACATCCAGTTCAATCAACGAAGTCTATCATAGTTAGGGATTAAACCGTCTTGTTGAATTAGGATAGAACGCGCATTGTATTTGTGCCACAGCCTTCTTTTTTTTTTCGCCGGGTTGGCCGAAGGAATGGCTGACCAAATTTCATTAAGATTGGAAGAAAACAAATTACAAACATACAAGGGTACATCGACAAGAAGTTGTCGAACGTGTTGTGAGGCAAAACCTTACCCCACGAGAAAGGGAAAATAAAAAGCCCTAAGGCTGAAAAACAGTTCTACTTCTCACAATGTGAAAAGAGACCTGCAGACTTCCAGATGATTATTTCCTCTTTGATATCCTCAACCAACTGAGCAGGGTTTTTGTCTCTTTGTTCGAATACTCTTGCGTTTCTTTCCTTCCAAATTAGCCAACAGATCATCATGAAAACACTGCCAAAAAGGCTGCCCTGTGTGGCCTTTAATCTCACCAGATGTGAAATGTCATATACAAGATAACATAAAAGGATATTCTCTGAGTTCGTTTCTTGTGGCAGTTTTCTAATATTTATTGCACTGCATTATAGAGCATGGCACCTCTTATGACATCCATCTCAACACTGCCACAACCTCTTCTAACACCTTATGCGGTCTAAATGAAGCTGCAGCACTGTGGCATGTATGGAATAAGTTGTTTTTGGTTGGATACAAAGTCAACAAAAACATTGGTTGTGCTATTCTTTTGCACTGATGAAATGCTCAGATATGTGAAGCCTTGTTTTCATTTGCCTCACTCTGTATAAACTGTAGAAGATTGTCCATTATTATATTTTTGGAGGGTTAATATAACACACGAGCTAGTACTTTGCCGCCTGACATCATCCAGATTTGTTTGAAACATGCAGAACAGGTATTGCATATATAGCAAATGTTGCAGTCCGAAAGGAAGAACGTCGTAAAGGAATCGCTAAAATGCTTGTTGCAGAAGCAGAGGAGCGAGCAAAGAGTTGGGGTTGCCGATCCATGGCATTACATTGTGATGTAAACAACATTGCTGCGCTGCGTCTGTACAAAAATCTAGGATACAAATGCATCCATGTACCAGAAGATGCTAAGTGGCCAGAACCTAAGATAGCAAAAGGAGTGCGATACAACTTTATGATGAAGCTAGTACCCAAGATGTAGTGTATATGATCAGAACAGAGAAACTGAGACACAGCTTCACACTTGAAGCTATTACCCAAGATTTGAAGTGTATACGATCAGAGTAGAGCAATTGAAACATGTAGATACTACAGTGATGTGCGAGCTCATTCACTTCACATGTATAGTAGCTGTATAGTGGAGACTGGACAGTACATTGTATGGCATATAATTGCTATGTATTGTTTTGAAGTAGTAACCATGACATCATTCCTTCACTCAGAGCTCCTGAGAAGTAGCCTGAAGAAGGAAACAAACCATACAGCTTCCAACATTATTTATTGTTGTTCTCAATATATGATGATATCCCCCTTTTCCCCCTTGGTGGAGCATATTCAGTTATGTTCTGTAACAATCTTATGACTAGTGTACCTGAAGATATCAGATATTCAGAAGGAAGTGCTGTGGTTTCATTGTGCCGGTTCATATTTCCACTGGTCTGTATCATGGATCTGCACTGTAAAGTGGTAAATGTATTTACTGTCATTTTCCTGATGAACTCTTCTAGCTTAATTTGGAGGTTGAAATTTCAGCATGCATTTATGCTCTTATGTTTCCTTATCAACACCTTCATTAATTGCTGATACATCTACAACAACAATGCTTGTATACTAAACAATGGCACCCTGAGACTGTTTGTGTGTTAACAAGAGGGGGTGGTAGTGTGGGCTGTGGCCTTTATGATGTTTGGCACCAACCTGGTTACCCCCTTTTCTGAACTGTATGGTTGTTGGATCATTGCTGATAATTGTTTCTTTGGTTGAGCCTGCTGTGCTGATCTCATTGAGGAAATTGAAAAAAGATTTTTGCTGTTGTTGAGTGGATGGTGTGGGGTGAGGAGGACTGGGAGATAGTTGGATTGGATGGAAGCTGAAGAACATGTCACATGGGATGCATATGCATATGCATGTAGAGCCCTCATCATCCTCCACACCACACCAATAAGGCAGATGCATGGATAGATCTGTTCATAATGCATGTGACTCAACGAATTTTAACATCATTTATCTCCCTTTAGGACCCAGAATTATGCCCTGCACAAACCACACACATTGCACCATTAAGATTCAGATCGGTCATAATTATTTTTGTAACAAGAAAAAGGAATACTTGCACATGGACAGTGGCTCATTGAAAATTTTTTGACTGCTGATACCGTGTCAAGTGTGAAAAACTGTTAACAGCTTCCAAGTAGTGAATAGCCTCTAATACTGACGTTCTGATTGGTTGATCTGTGTTTTGCCCGTGAAAAATGTTTCAAAATTCGAAAGATCTCACCTTTGTCAAAATCTGTTCAATCTTAGGAGCAGCTTCTCATGTTATTGCACATTAGCATGAGATGTAGACACATAGGAGTTGTTAATTTGCATGTTCAAAGCATTGTTTACTGGGATCCACTTGGTTTTGGTATTTATTTTACGATTTGTTAACGATTAAATTAGCAATTTTCAATAATGTGGTTGGGTAGGGCAGTTTGACCGGGACCATTTTGACATCTCTGCTTTGGTGGGAATCCCGAGGCAAAGACGAATCCTAGTCTAGTCTGTCAGTGTAGAAGAAAGAAGATGGCTGGGCTCACCGGCGATCGCCGGTGCCGGACACCGGCTGCAGCCGGTGGAGTCGCCGTGTCGGTGGCCGACGGCCGCATCGGTGCCCGGAACATAGGTATCACCAACACCTGATGAGCTGTTTGCTGCTGCTGCTACTGAAGAAATAATTTGATTTATTCGGTGTAGTTTTGTGACTTTGTGTAGCAGTAGTATATACTCCTCCCTGTCTGCCATACCCCATATCACCGACAACTCCATCGTCACCCTTTCCCATATGGCCTCCATAATTTTCAACAAAAAAATGCAGAATTATAAAAACCTAGTAAATTAATTTATATCATGTTGAAAATACTACACTCTGATAGAAATTAATTGAATCATGTTCATAAATTTACGTTGCCGTGAAGAAATTTATATGCAATCAAGTTAATCTTATGATATGAATAACCCATTGGAAATTGTTGCTTTGGACGAGTAAAAAGGGAAAATACCAATGCAAGGAAGGTATTTGGACTAGCTAAAAAGAGGAAGATGTTCACTCCCTAACTAACAATGCAAACTGTAGAGAGAAATCCCAACAATAATATGGGAGAGCTACATATTAGTATATACTATATTGTTTACATATATTCTTCTATGAAAAGTTTGTTGCAAATGCTCCTTAGTGGGCTCCCCTAACTGAATTTTATGTGCTATTTGGTCCAATACCAGTGATTGTTTCTGTTTTTTTTTTCTTCTTTTATAAATTGGTCTTTTTTCGATCATATGTGCAGTGATACATACTTTGAAGTTTTCCTTTCTTTTTTAGGAGAACAAAAGTAGTACGGTATGACCGATGTTGTCTTATTTTTCTTTCCATTTTCCAAAGTGATAAAATGGACATAAAGACTAGAGATTCCCCACTTGCAAAAAAAATTAAAAAGAATAATTCAGATTCTCCACATCTTTGCACGCTCATAAACTATAAAAATTAGTTAGTCATCACTTGGTCTAGAATACGGAGCTTAGTCTTTGGCGCACATGCAACCAACGTGATCCCATGTTTAATTTCCTTTATTTTTTCCCATCTTTTCATTTCCCTTTTACTTTACGTTTTTTAAACTAAACCATTTGTTTGATGGTTGAGCATGCAATTCCAGCATCCAATTGACAAATCCCATCACCTAATTATGCAGCTGCTAAAACAGTAGAATTACTATTATATATTTGCCATAATAATGATGCAACGACGTATCTTAGAAGCAAGATTACCAGCACGGCAAAACACTATAGTACTACCTTCAAAAAAAAAAGAATTAAAAGGGCCTTACATTACACACGTATCCATCAAAACATGTAAGTAGAGGTTAGCTTCCAAATCAATTAATTTCTCTGTATGTACCCAAAATATAATTACTTTGGATTGTGACATGAAACTAGTAATTAATGTACTCCATCTTGGGGCGTGTATGCATATATACATACATTGGTACACAAAGTAGGGGTGATTAAGAAGTTGCAACGACAGTAGTGGCGACTAAACAAACACTTGCAAAAAGCAATGCAAGTCATTTTTTGTCGTGGTACCCATCCTACGTGGCGATGGCTACAGCTTGTCAGCTTGTGCCAGCTGGCCGCAGAGATGCTGGCCAGTGGCACGTCGGATTCATGAGGCGACGCCAGGTCAGTATTACAAGACAGCTCACAGGTCACAAAAGAGCATAGTACTGTGTACTCCTAATTAAACTAAGCAGCTTGCTTGCTTTTCTCCCATGTACATTGTACCAATACAAAAACAATATAAAAAGTATATTATAATATAAAATTAAAAACAAAGTGAAAAATATGCTCTTCTAGTATATTAATTAAAAAATTTATTGGCAGAATTCATCTAACTTTTGCATTCCTTGAATGGAGGAATTTATAGAATTTTTTTTTTTTTTGGAATTGAACTAATCCATTTGAAATTTCTGTAAAATTCAAGGATTCAAAAGGAGTCTTTTTATTCTTGATAGTCTCACCCTATCCAACCTTAGTACGCAAAAGAGTGTAGCATGTGCCGTACTAAGTTGGTTCAGCTTAGCCGTCGAAATAGAGGAAGCTATGTATATGCTACTACCATCCAAAAGCTGTACCTAATATAGTTCGACCAGTTGTAAAACTATATGATTAGCTTGAAAATTTTTATCAATTCCACCGTGTTAGCGTCCAAGTCTCTGCACCTAACCTATACCAATATTCCACCGTCATGAAAGCGATGCACTGATGGCTATATCTAAGCTCCATATGCCTCCCTCTCCAAACACATTGCACCATTGGTTTTATTATTATTATTATTCATAGTTGTCACTTAGATAGATTGCACATTGCAGTTCATAGGTCAACTGTTGTGTCCGCTGATGTAAGAAAATGTACACTTGAGTAATCATCAGGGCTTCAATTAATCACTTGTCATAACAATCAATTTTGGCATTCTTATGTTTCAAGTTAATTAGTATGTTCTGTTTCTAAACCATTTGATCAGGATTGTGTACTGAACTGTGATTATTGTTATTATTATTATTATTATTATTATTATTATTATTATTATTATTATTATTATTATTATTATTATTATTATTATTATTATTATTATTATTATTATTATTATTATTATTATTATTATTATTATTATTATTATTATTATTATTATTATTATTATTATTATTATTATTATTGCTAATTGTCACATAGATAGATCGCACATTGCAGTTCATAGGTCAACATTCTGTCTGCTGATGAAATAAGTATACACATAAGTAATCAGGGTTTCAATTAATTAATCGGTTTTCATAAACAATCATTTTTTGGCGTTCTTGTGTTTCAAATTACTCTAATGAGTATGTTTTGTTCCTAAACTGTTGATCAGGGTGGTGTACTGAACACTGTGATCAGTGGCCTGAAAATTCCCAGCTAGTATAAAACAAAGAGGAATTATTATTTGGTGGCCCATAGAAACTGAAACAATTATATGCTGAGAGAAACAGAAAGGGGGGATGTACTGTGTACAGGAACTGTGATGTGCATATGGGTAGCCCATCACCTGATCAATCGATCGATCGATTGGATGATAGTATAGTGTGCTTTCAAGGAATTCTTCTGCGTCTCTCTCCCCTGTCTTTTTTCTCTTTGTTTCCTTCCTTGCAAGCCAATGCTCCTGCACTAGCTTTGCTGCCACTGTCGTGTGGGCCCCCCTCGCCAGCGTGTATGAAGAATATGATAGCTCCACCTGTCATTCACTTTGTGTCAATGTATGTACTCATGTCGATTGTGCTAGTCGAAGACCTGTGGAAAAAAGGAGTTGACATTTGCTTGCTCATGTTGCTGCGCTCATTGCGCAGCAAAAGTCTGGATGTGATCCTCTAAGGAGATACACCCTCCGTCGCAAAATAAATACAGTTGTGGGTTTGGACTTGGCTCGGCGCGGGCGGCTTACGCGCTAGAGCGCGCGGCGCGCGAGCGAGGCGGAGCGGAGCTGAGCGGGGGAGAAGCGGAGGGGCGCAGGGCGCGGCTCTCGCGTCCGCGCGCGTGCACCGCGTCCCTCCCCCGCCCGCGCGCATGAGCCGCGTACTCCCTCCGCACGGTGAGCCGAGCCGCTGACAAGCGGGTCCCACCCGGGACCGCGCGTGGTGAGCCCGGTCCACCGGCCCCCTCTCTCCTCCCCTCCCGCGCGCGCTCTGGGCCGGGTCCTCTTGGGCCGGCCGGCCCATTAGCTCGGCCGAGCCGCGCTTCTTCTCTCGGGCCACGCCCTAGCCGCCCGAGGGAAGTCT